AAACTGAAAACGGATATATAAAGGCACTAGAAAATGGAGATATATATAAGTACTTAGGAATTAAGCAAATGCATAAATCTAAAATGACAGAAGTTAAAGAAGAAATAAAGAAAACATTAAATCAAAGAATAATAAAAATACTAAAATCTCAACTAAACTCAAACAACAAATTCAAAGCCATAAACACTTGGGCTATACCTGTACTGACATACTCGTTCGGAATAATAAAATGGAGTAAAACAGAACTTGAGACCATTGAAAGACATATAAGGCGACAACTTACAATGTTTGGACTACACCACCCTAGAAGTTCTGTAGCACGACTGTGTGTTAGTAGAAAGCATGGGGGTAGAGGGTTACTAAACATTGTAAGCCTTGAGGCCAAACAGCGAGAACTGTTGAGAAAATACCATCAACAAAAATGCTATGTCTCAGAGCTCCACAAAATAACATCAACACTCGATTACAACTACACACCTCTAAACCTCAGCAATATTGAACATCAAATAGATATACAAAATGAAAAAGAGAGGATTAACACATGGGCCTCAAAAGAACTCCACGGAAGATACCGGGCAGAACTCAACCAAACACACGTAGACGAAGAAATGTCTACAAAATGGCTGAAGTACGCCGGTCTTCACGGAGAGACAGAGGGGTTCATGATGGCAATACAAGATCGAGTGGTTCCGACCCGTAACCATCAGAAATATATCCAAAAGCTAAACATACCAACAGACAAGTGCAGGATGTGTCATATGGAGTCCGAAACAATAGAACATATACTAAATGGGTGTAAAGTACTCACAAATACCGAGTACCTAAGCCGTCACAATCAAGTAGCCAAGATCATACATCAGGAACTGGCAATAAGATTCGGACTAATCAAAGACCCATTACCATACTATAGATACGAGCCACAAAGTGTAATGGAAAACAACAGCGCCAAGCTCTACTGGGATAAAGAAATAAGAACTGATAAGACTGTGGCCCACAACCGCCCAGATATAGTCCTAGTAGACAAACATCAAGATAAGGCGTATATAATAGACATAGCGGTCCCACTAACACATAAATTACAGGACACGCATAGTGAGAAACGTCGGAAATATACAGACTTGGCCTATGAGATCAATAAGATGTGGCGCATTAAGAAAGTTGAAATAATACCTATAATACTGTCATCAATGGCCGTAATACCGAAAAATCTGGCCCTAAGTTTGGAATCACTGGAAATCAGAAAAACTAAGATCTATGAAATGCAAAAAGCAGTGATACTTCAGAGTTGTAGAACAGTCAGAAAAGTACTAGATTTGAGTTGAGTCTAACCAGTCGTGTCTCTGCCACCAAAAGTGGCCGACACAACTGTGATCACACCGGAACAACCGTGATATACAAAGATAATAATAATAATAATAATAATAATAATAATAATAATAATAATAATAATAATAATAATAATAATAATAATAATAATAATAATAATAATAATAATAATAATAATAATAATAATAATAATAATAATAATAATAATAATAATAATAATAATAATAATAATAATAATAATAATAATAATAATAATAATAATAATAATAATAATAATAATAATAATAATAATAATAATAATAATAATAATAATAATAATAATAATAATAATAATAATAATAATAATAATAATAATAATAATAATAATAATAATAATAATAATAATAATAATAATAATAATAATAATAATAATAATAATAATAATAATAATAATAATAATAATAATAATAATAATAATAATAATAATAATAATAATAATAATAATAATAATAATAATAATAATAATAATAATAATAATAATAATAATAATAATAATAATAATAATAATAATAATAATAATAATAATAATAATAATAATAATAATAATAATAATAATAATAATAATAATAATAATAATAATAATAATAATAATAATAATAATAATAATAATAATAATAATAATAATAATAATAATAATAATAATAATAATAATAATAATAATAATAATAATAATAATAATAATAATAATAATAATAATAATAATAATAATAATAATAATAATAATAATAATAATAATAATAATAATAATAATAATAATAATAATAATAATAATAATAATAATAATAATAATAATAATAATAATAATAATAATACATAAGCAGCTATTAATTTCTGATATCAGTTATAGATTATTTAAATTATAGAATATAATTAATTAATTAATAATTGACTTTATTTGACACAAAACTAATGAATGCCAATAATAAATGTTATTTAAATGATTATACATTCATACAATTGAGTGCTTTGACATTAACACTAGTTTTAAAACTTGTTTATTCAATTGTTTATACTTTTTATTATTGAAATTCAAATCATATTGTAGTTAACAAGTGATGAAATATTAATCAATTCATAGATAGGATTCAAAAAAGTCGACAACAGAAGACCTGATGCAAAGTTAGGGATTAAATAAACTTTGATTTCAATAGTATTACTAGAAGTTAGATAAAAATGTCAATGAATTGAACTAAATTTTGTGTTTTACTTTTAGACTTTCACTTATTATATAATACCTGTATTTATATATTTGTGTTATATTTGAATTAAATTTGATTGAAAGCACACGACAAACATGTTAGACAAGAGTTATTGTAGTCAATCATATGTATGTATGTATTAGAGACCGGCTTTTAAATGATTCTCTGCTTAAATAATAATAATAATAATAGTTATAAATTGATGTTATTATTACATCAAATTAAGGATGGGGTCAATGGGGTCAATGTTATGTCTGTTTTGACGATCAGGTTTTCAACTAAATTCAATGCTCTCTCATTTATAATAAGTCAATCATACAATTAATTTTATAGACATCTATTTAAATTAAAAACTATTGTATTTAAATTTTAACAATTATTTAATAACTATTGTTTTTATTAAGTATTGTTTTATTTTTGAGGAAATTTTTAAATAAAAATTCATTAAATAAACTTGTATCAATATTGTAAAATAGATGTATTATAATTTGTTATCATTACACAATTTTTTTAAACATGAAATGCATTTTATATTTTACTTCAATTTTATTTATAAAAAAATATAAATTTGTAGCATATTTGTTATAACAAAATATCTATTTGATAAATGTTAAAAATAACTGATAAACTGGAAAAAACTATGTAAACATTTTTGCCGTTTGGATATACGGTATATTATAGAGTACTTTATGTATAAAATTTACTTTATAATTATAAATGTGTATAAATACTAAATTAATTTATGTTTTTTACTGTTAATATACTTTCTAATTGTTGCGCCAAACAACAACTCGTACGGCTATTGCTGTTAGTTTGTACTTAAAATTAGTTATTAGTGAAAATTGCAGTGAATTAAGCGCTCCAATGGTTTGTTGGGCGACTACTACTGAGTCGGCAAAAGGGGCGTAAAGTTTGTACAACTTTTTTGCTGCGAAAAATGTTTTGCCTCTCTTTTAGGTTATATACTATAGTATATAATACTGTATACACTGTATATTTTACAGTGAAAGTTATTGAGTGTACAACTGATTTGCCGGAGGCTTACTATTACAACACCAGTAGTTTAAGCATCACTTTCAACAGTACCAGAGATTGCTGTCTAAAAAACATTTTATATTCAGTACTTGTATTTGTTTGTGTAATAAAAACTTTTTCTGTCGCTTGTCTCACATAACAGCCAACTAGTACTGGATGTCCTGAAAACATATACATTAAAAACAGTGTTATAACTAATATATATTCTTAGATATATATATATATATATATATATATAGCCACATAAAAGTGGTCTCTTATTACCAAATGATGTGATTTGACTTAAAGTTTGAGATGTTGTTGAGTCCATTGTCAACAAGTTTTTAGTGATTTTTGTTTCGCTTAAAGAATCAGAGCTTTTATTTCGAGATCCAAATTCTGCTTATATTTATCATTAGTCTAATAAAAAATGCATTTCCTTAAACATATTTATCGACTTTTATTAAGTTTATTGATAATTAATTTAAATATCGATTCATCATATACTCTACAATCGCTAACTGATATTGAGTTAAATAATATAATATTATTATTTAATCGACGTTTTGTTACACTTAACAATTGTTATGTCAATCAATTTATTCGTGACGCCAATTGTCGAGTAAGTTATCTTTTAATAAATTTGCTAAAATATTATCTTATAAATTATTAATACTTAATTAAATTTACTTAATTTTAAATAATTTTCATAGATATAATCTATTTTAAAGTTTTTAGAACTTTAGTTTTTATAAAAATTATTTATAAATTAAACTACATTTAATTTTTATTATATACTTATTATATCATAAGTATTATATTAATGTTATAATTTTAATTACTTTTTTGAAAAATATGTTTTAGTGTTTTATAAACAAAAATCAAATAAAAAGGTTATCGACTATTAACGGGACAAATGAAATCAGTTTTGACAGATTGAGTGTTATTTTGTTAACACATGTGTTTCAAAGTGTTTACAAAATTGGTTTCGTGTGCAAACATAATACAAGTAAGTCTATTACTATTACATTCATTTCTATTGAATTTTATGTCAATTCATATAATCTATTCATTCAAATATATATCATATACTTTATATTATATATTTCTTACATAAATAAGACATCAATTTGTCACACATAACTCAATTGTATGATATTTTTTATTAAATATAAAATTTATATTAAATATATTTATTTATATATTGTAATAATATTTTTGTCATTCAATTGATGTGAATATAGATTTAAATGCCAATGAATTTCATTTGTCTAAAGACTGTATCCTTTCATATGACAAATATATTCAACATTTGTCCGAAGCATTCAATTTGGATAAAACATTGAATGAAAACAACTTGAATGCAGTGATCGACCCATTTATTAGAGACAAACTTCAATACTATGTCACCAATAATACAGATCAGGTATGATATGCATTGCACTCAATATTATTTATACATACAATAGTGTTACTATTATTTGATTATTTTAAGTGAAACAAATATATTTGATTTATTTGAACTTTAATTTAATTGTAATTAAGAAAAAAATCATAAATAATTATTTATTTGTACATTTGCTTGCCCTTTGAAATTGAAATATATATATATATATTGTACTTAGAAATTGAGAGTAATATAATATATTAAGTTGTATTTAAAATGTTAGTTATTTTGAAGTCATAACTTGATCTAAAAACCTTATATTTAATATTAATTTGTATTATTTTCATATAAAAACGATTGCATTTTTAATTAATATTAAATTTAATGTATCGCTTGAACGCTATGTCTAATGTTTTCCGGTAATAATATATATTTTCAAAATAAATTATTTAATAAAACCACAAAACATCATATTTTGAATGACATATCCCATGATATTTAACAATAATATTTAAAATTGATTGTAATATTATAATTGAAATAATTGAAATTATGTTATAAGATATGGATAGCAACAGACATCATAAACTTTTTATAACACAATTTTATTTTATTTTTTATGACTTTTGTTAGTTTTAAAGCTTATTTTTATTGTAAACTATTAGATAACATGATGATTTATTTTGTAAAATTATAAAAATTATATTTGTAAAATTTAACATATATTTTTATAAATTAGAATTTAAAATTTAGTATTTTTTAATTAAAACATTTATTTTAAAAATTAATTCATTTTTGTTTTTTTTAAGTTTAATGCACTCATTAGTTGAGCAAATATTTACATCAAAATTGATAAGTGAAAGCAATTTGCGGTCTAAAAAGTTTGTGAAACGTTTAGTATGTTATTAAATATGCGTTGTTTGAGACTAAATACCTGAATGAATGAATGAAACAACAATTTTTAGTAATACAGTAATAATAATAATAATAATAAATAAATAAATGTAATTTATAAAAATAGTATTAACATAAATGTCTGCAATTTTAAATTAATTGGAGCTATAATTTCTCATTCATTGTATTATTACTATGATTTTTATAAATAATAATTATTGTTGATAATATTTATTTTATTTTTGATTAGATATATACCATATAAATATTAATTATTTTAGTACAGATGAAGTGATAGCTTAAAATAAACTTAAAAGTGAGTTAATAAAAATTATTGAAAAAATATAAATAATTTTGAAGTCAAGGTAACAATAACTTTGTTTTTATATAAAAGTTAGTTTTGTTTTTATGTTTTATATTCAAAATTAGTTTAAATATATTTTTTTGAAAGTCATTTATTATAATAAAATATATATTAATAAAAATAATGTTTAACATACAGTAATAATATACAATACTTTCTACATTTAATATTATAATGTATGGCATATTGTTTTTAGTTTTATGTCATTAAGTTATTTAGAGAGCGAATCATTAAATTTATGTAAAATTATTGCATAAAAATTTTATTGTTATTATAATTTTTTTGGACATTTAATATTCCATTTAGTTTGATGTCAATTATGTTCAGGCAATTTAAATTGCAAATAATGTTTATATATAATAGTTTGATACAGGTATACATATATTTACCATATGTATTATACACAATATATTATAAATTTATATGTTGACAATTGCTTATCATATTCAGATTTAATAGCAACTGTGTTTCATATTTTAAAATTTATATATTAACAACTGTATGATATCATTGAGCATTGAATTATGAATACAATAATTAGATTTATAAAAATATGTTATATTGGATCATTGAAAATGAATATAATTTTGACTATTGTATCATTTTATTAATGTTCTAAAATTAAAAAAATACATATTGTATCTATTAATTGTTACAATAAACAGTAAATGCTAAAAACACCTAATAGTTATATATTAATTATAAAATGTCAACTAAAATTTTGTTAATTATGTTGTTGTGCCAAAAAAATATCAAAATCATTAATATATTGATATAACTTTCTTTCAATTAAATTTAAGAATTAGTTTCTAAATATATTTTTAATTGTATTAATGTATTTTTAGAACTTAAAATAATGTTATTATTTAATACAATAGTTATTTGTTTAAATTTTCTACAGATATTTAGTCATATATTTGGAAACTTAGTGATTAACAAAATTATTATTATAGGTTATAAACAGATTTTACAATTTGATTATAATTGATTAATTGGTTAAAGTTGTTTCCGATCAATGATTTTTGTTTTATCACATTTAAAACAAAGTTTAAATCAATCGATACAACAGTAAATTTATTGTTACTTTTATTAAAACTTTTTTTTTTAAATTATAACTTAACATATGGATCATTAAATACACTAATTGAGAATCTCGTATCTATTTTATTATAGTGCAGTCAATTGAAAGCATTTTAACCTAATTTGAAGTTCACATAAATTTTTGTTGAATTCTCACATACTTTCAATTGACTTTCAATTTCTTAATCATTAATAAAAAAAATGCATAAAAAATTGAGAAATATCATTGATTTTTAGTCTGAGGTTTTTTATGCAGACATTTATTTTGTTTTTAATGTATTAATTTATAAAGTATTTATTTGATATATTTGATTAACAAAACAGACACTAACACATATACAGTATATGTGACCATAAATCAATTATTCAAGGATTGGTCCTCAAACTATTTAATAATAAACTATATTTAATTAATATTTACTTAAAATATAGTAATTTGTTATCAATAATTTAATATTAATAAAATTGATATTTTCTAAATAATAACATAATTATAATAATTAATATTATTTTTTATATAAATAATATCATTACAATAAGCTGTAGTTTTTTTTGTTTAAATTTAAGTTTTAATATAATTATTCATTATATGATCGTTTCAAATCAATTTGTATATAACAATAATAATATATAATTCAGACCTAACAAATGAATTTTTTATAAACTTTATAAATCTATAAATATAGTATTGTTTGTAATTTTATTTAATATTTTTGCTAATATTTCTAAATCACGATTGGTATATAATTTTCATTTAAACATGTAATAATTAAACTAACAAATTATAATTAAAATATAGTATGTATTTGTTAGATATTCATGAGATTTATATTATTATATATTATATTAAATTCACGACAAGAACAGTGATGTAGATATGATGTTAAATAATGTCAAAATCACGAAAATTATTGTTTTAATTTTATTATTTGTTAATTTGATGCAAAATTGGTGTTTAAAGTCAGACATCAATTATTGTTTTGTTAGAGTTTTAGATCTCATCTGAAAAACAATGTTTTTTTTCAGTACAATGCAATACACAATATAATGTAATTTATACAAATCGATAGTATTAATAAATGTAATACAATTGATTTAATATCAAGTAATTAGTTTTATAATTTTTAAAAATTACACTTAGTTAAATATAATCTCTCTCTCTCTCTCTCTCTCTCTCTCTCTCTCTCTCTCTCTCTTCCAATTAGTTAACTATATAAATTAAATGTATATTTTACTTTACAATCATAAATACCATTTATATGTTAATTTAATATTTTGATTGTTTTCAAAACAATATATCTGTCGACTATTTGTTTAAGCTGCTATTAATCTTTTAAAAAATATAATAAATTTTTTTTTATTTAATGCATTTTAGTATTGCATGAATTAAAAGTTAATAATAATATTAATTACTATTTGAAGGTTTTTTAAAAATTGATCAATAATTAGTGTTGCCTGGATTAATTTTTAAAATTATTTTTCTAATTTTTACATTTTGTTTAAATATAAAATTAAATATGCTATACATTATATCAATTATAGTTTATTATTGTAATAATTTATTTAAAAAATGATTAAATCTAAGTCATTCTAAGTTTTGAAATTAAATAATATATTTGTATATTATATATATTGCATATACAGTACAGTACTTACAATATAGTATAATACAGTACTATATATATAAATAATGATCAATCAATGGAAAACTATTATATAAGACAACATATGCCTCAATGTCTACATTTTGTCTCTCATTAAAATCACATTTGATATTCTTCTCACATTTTCTTTTATAATCTCAGGTAATGTCATAAAACTAATTTATTTTTAAATTTTATTATGAATTAAACATTTTAGGAAAAATTAATTAAATATTAAAAGAGTTCAATAAATTGTTACCATTTTTTAAACGAATTTGCTCTGAATATAAATTTATTTATTTGTAAAAAATATATTATTTCACTGAATTTAAAAACTTGAGAAATTACTGTTTAATATATATATATATATATATATATATATATATATATCATACTTATAATATTATTTTTAAGATTAATGAGTAAGTTATTAAATCTTGGAATAAAATCTGTTTTAATTTAATTAATTACATATAATTAAAAATATACTGACAACAAGTGTTATAAATGTATATTTTATTGGTTTATCAAATTGTTTTTAAAATAAAGATTTTGTAATTATTAAAAAGTTTTTATATAAAAAATAAATCACAGTATCAAACATATGATAAAATTTAGATTATATTCTATTATTAAATAATAACTAATTAAGTAATAGAATTAAATAATATATAAATTTATTCATATTATTAATAATTAACAAATATTAACATTTTAAGAATACAATCAATAAATAATAATTATCAAATAATTTAATTATTATAATTATTTTTAAATTTTATAGAGTAATGTAAAACAATGTGAAATATCTGTTATTTAAATTAAAAATATCTCTATGATTGAATATGAAGCACCAGATTTAAATTAAATATATTAATTAATATTTTTTTTTTTGATAAAGTTTCAATATTTTATAATAATTTTTTTTTAACTTTAGATTACTTTAATACAATACTTTTGTTTTCAATAATAGTTAAAGTTTCTATAAGTTAAGAATAAAAATAATATTGTAATGAAAATAAATATTAAATTTGTTTGTTTTTTTCAGGAAATATATTATTAATATATAATATAAATTAAATTCTATGTATGTTAGTTATTTTAATGTAACTTAGACATATTTTAACTAAATTTTAAATTTTATTTTTAAAACTTTTTATTTTTTTTAATTTAACCAAAATGTTATTTCCTGCCTATTTAATTTTAATAAATATTGATAAATGTGATGATTTATATAATAATATAATGAGATAAAGTATTGAATTATAGTTATATAAACTATTCACAATTGCTGTTATAAAATATTTTTTAAACTTTACTATTTTAATTTTACTTTTTAAAGTATAACTAAAAAATATCTTATTATGTAAAACTTTGTTTATCAATTTGTCTATAAATATATTTAATATTTATTAAAATATAATATTACAATATTTATTTGTCAAACATTTATCAAACTGTTAAACATTAGTAGGGTTGCCAAATGTTACAAAAGGAATATTTCAGTGATACACTTATTTTACTATTAATTACTATAATTTTTTACACAATTTATTTCTAACACAATTAAACTTAATATTATATTTATTTGATAAATATTTTATTTATTACAGAAACTTTAATTAACAAAATTTTATTTTAAAAATCTAGTTTTAAAAATAATTTTATTAGTAAAATTATATTTAACTAATTTATTAATTTAAATACTACAAACCATTAAAGAAATTTATTTACTTTTACATTATAAGTTAGTTTAAAAACATTATATTTTCCAAAATTTTAATAATTGACTATATATTTATAAATTATGCATTTATTGTGATATATTATCTACAAATTGTTGTTTGACATGAAAACTAAAAATAAAAATTACATAATATTACAAATTAATTTTATTTATCTTTTTTATATAAACACTTGTTTTGGCATCAAATCAAAGATAAATTAAAAAGTTTTGTTAAACTTATAATTATTGTATTTCTTTTATACGAATTATTTGATTTGATAGCTTTCATTAAATATATACATGATATATGAAACAATTATATTGTTATAAAATGTTTTGTAATTATAATTATAGATAAATTACAAAGTAATGGATAAATTATGTAATAATGTAATAATAGTCAGTAAATAATGTTAGTTTGCATTTATATAATATAATAATATATTAATTGTCAATAGAATTGACACATGTATTCAAAATGTACGATATATAAGTAATAACGACCATGGTTAATTTTGTTTTTGTTGTAATATTATTTTACTCATGTTTAAAATAATATAATTAAATTGAATTGAATTTATTAAAATAAATTGAAATATTCATAATATATAAGAATAATAAATATAGATTTTTATCTCAATTTGATTATAAACATCACAATCAATGCTAAAACCTTATAATTAGATGCAATTACTAATAAACCACAAGTGGTTAGAAATAAATATCCTTGAATTGAAAGTATGTTTTAGTATTTTATTGATTGTTTAGACCTTCACATCCAATCTATTATTATATTAATATTAACACATCATTAAATAATATTTACAAATTTAATAAAATTTATCAAATTTATAATCAGAATATTAAGTATTAGATTATATAATGTTTATTTAACATATAAACAAAAATCTAGTACTGTATCTATATTTCACATAATTTTTTATTGTATTTTATATATTTATAGATACAGTATGTAAATACAAAAGGTATTAATTTAAATAAAATGGAAAAATATTGTGAAATTAAGATTATTTTTATAAAGTTTATATTTAACAGTTATCTACTGTATTTAAAATTAAATTATATAATATATGTATAAAATGTAGAAATTATTAAATAGAGAATATTTGTATATAAAAGTAGAATTAATTTACTTGTAATCTTACAATTAGTTATATAAATTTAATTAATGCATAATTTTTAATTATTTTATTCAGTATAGCTTTAAAGTAATTAATTTTAATATTTTAAATTAAATGCTAAAGTTTGAAATCTTCGGTTATTTAGTATAATTATCTCTATATATATTCAAACTATTACAGTGTCATAGCATTGATTTCAACAATTGATTCAATAATTTCAACGATTGAGATCATCAATTCAACGGTGAGATAAACAATTCAACGAATGTATTATTCAAATCAACTCATATATAGAGTATCACAAACTGTACATAAAATCTTATTGTTTGTATTTTTTGACTCAAATGTTTTTGTATTGTTTTTTCTTGAAATACAGTAAATGTTTATTTAATTTAACCACAAAATGATTGCTTTACAAGAAGTAGATATTAACTCTTGTAAAACATTGATAATAAATATTTGTTTAAAATATTGTTATATATATATATGAGTTGATTTGAATAATACATTCGTTGAATTGTTAATCTCACCGTTGAATTGATGATCTCAATCGTTGAAATTATTGAATCAATTGTTAAAATCAATTCTATGACACTGTATCTGTTGAGCACTTAATTTACGGTATAAAATGCAGATTATAAGGAGTGACTAATTTTGCATTAAATACGTTGTATTCATATCATTGAATATTAGGTTAGGTTGTGATGCGAACTCCAGGTCAGTCATGACTCATGAGAAGCAATTGACGTAATCCAATCATAGTTTAATTTAAAAATTTATATTGTTATGGTAACAAAACTATTTTATAGTCTAATGTTATAAATGCCACTTAAAATATAATTTTAAACTTAGATCTCAACAATATATTTTTTCAAAATAAAAATTCACAAACTGACCCTTAAATATTTAGTACTAATATGAGCCAATGCGTGTCAAATGCTCTGCATCTATGCTCCAGGTTAGGTAACGCGACAAACAATGATTTCAACAATACGCACGTGTAATATATATTTAATTTAATTTATTTCATTCAATTAATTAATACGTATTTAATGCAAAATTAGTGAGTCCTTATAAAATGCATTTAATCCTTTAATACATTAGTTTTGATCTAATTTTACAAAAAAAAATAATTTTGTTTAAAAAATTTAATAAAATTACCTGAAATACATTAATTGATTTTTGTTTATTTCAAAATTTTAGTGTTTCTCATCTCAAGATATAGTGAATGATTATCTAAATTATGGGAAATTACATTCAACTGACCATGAATTACATGATTTGGATAATAATAATAATAGCAATCATTTGACAAAAAACATTGAATTACTTTCACAGATCATTGTTAGAAAATTGATTAGCGGTGAGAAAATTTTTAATAATTATATTTTTAATAATATTGTACTTAATTTTTTAATAAATTTTATTATCTGACGTACATAAAATACTATTTAAAAAAATCTAATTTATTAAATAATTATTTACATTTAAATTATGATTTTTCATCTTAATATGGTTGATAAATTATAGTAATTTATTTTTTATATAAGTTACCTGATATTTCACTATAATTAACGGTAATTTATTCAATTCAATTTATTTAAAAAGTTAGGTTTCACTGTAAAGGTGTTTTTCACACATCATCTTTGTGTAAATATAATAAATATATATATTTAAAATAAAATCTAAATTATAAATATTAATACAAAGAAAATTAAATATTAATATTTCTAAAAATTAAAACCCAGTAATTTTATTGATATAAAGATTTTATATGATATTAAATTATTGATTTATTAATGACTTTTTGGTTAATTAACACATTGGTATCATTTAGACAATGTAACTTATTTTATATGTGAAAGTTGTATATAATTTATGCATAATTTACATAAATTGCATGATTAGCAACCCTACATTATATTATTTTTTATGAATTTCTTATAAAATGTATATTAAAATGATAGCAATTATTTATTATTTGCATGGTAATTTAAGTAATATATACTTAACGGTAATGAAAAATACAAATATATTATATTATTTTCAAAATAATATCAAATAATTAACATTTATTTAATTTTTATAGGTTTATGCATAAAGTTTTCTGAAACCGATTATACCGATTATCTTATAAGCAAATATGGTCTGCAAAGTGAAAACAAAATTGGACACCACCTAGGTTATTATTTTTTAATGTGTTTTTGTTTTACAATTTATTATATTTTTAATGATAAGATATTATGTAATGAAATTGTTTTTATTAAATAGAAATAATAATTATATTAATAGTTAGTAAAAATGTATGATATTATTTACATTTATTTACATTTATGTATATACAGTTTAAAACATTTTTGCTTAAAATCTTAGGGATTCAAAATCTGTTACGTGATCTCAAAATTGGACGAACAAACCATTTGAAAGATAATAACAACGACAGAACTGATGAAAAGCATGACAGCGATGGTGATGATGATGACGGACATCACGATCATCACCACAATGAACATCAAGACAATGATCGTCAGCATAAACGCAACAAAAGATTAGTTCCTAATCATCAAAACAAATCGAAAACTGAGTTACAAATAGCTGTCTGTTTTGACGATGACTTTTATCTTAAGAATTTTGGAAGAAATGGTTATTTTACTGTAAAAGATGTCAAAAATCTTTGTCCTGTTTTGTTACAGCAAATTGTTAGTCGTGTTTGCATTGATAGTGACCAACGAGGTGTTAGCGATGATAAACACATTCATAATGAATACAAAGAGACGACACCTCATAAATCAAAGTCTGCATCAAAACTGACTAATTCTGAACGTATGAATAATTTTCAATTGATTTAAAAAAATAATTTATTTGAAATATTAACCAAAAAAATTAAAAAATATATTTTTCAGTTTATGGTTATTCATCACTTGCTGTTCTAATAATTAGTTTGACGGCAATTATTGGCATCTTTTTTCTACCGATCCTATCGAAGCATTCATACAACTATGTTATGGTTTGTTTTATTGGTGTCTCGTTTGGTACTTTGGCTGGCGATGCACTTCTTCATCTCATACCTCATGCATTGGGTATACATTCACACGAAGAACCATCAAATGAGACGGATGATGATCACCAAAAACATAATCATAGCCATAATGATGGAGACAATGTCAATATAATGCTAAATATACCAAATTTCTTTTGGTATCAGTTGTGTGTTTTGGGTGCAATCTATGGCTTATTTTTGTTTGAACTCATAATAAATGCTATTTACTCAGAGAATGTAAGTATCATTAAATTTAATGTGATTTTAAAATAAAAATAATTTGTTTTAATTTTATCTTAATTTAGACCGAAGAAGGACATCACGGCCACAGTCATACACTTAAACCTGATTTCAATCGAAACATAACGACTCCCTCTGAAGGTTCTGTAACTGTTCCCACAAAGGATTCACAAATTCATTTGGTATTCAATTAAATAGTTTAGAAAATAAATAGAAAATAAATGTTATAATTTTGATAATTTGTTTTATATAAAGACGTCTTATTGTGATTCGAGCACAACATTAGATACCAATTCTGTTGGAACCGTTAAGTCTACAGAAAATTTAACGTTAGATAAGATTAAACACCAAAATGAAGTTATACTCGAAGGAAATTCCGTGGTATGGGGTATGACTCCATTGGCAATGATGATCACATTAGGCGATGCCATTCATAACTTTGGTGATGGACTGGCCATTGGTGTCGCTTTCACTAGTGGTTTAGCCGGGTATGGCTTTTAGTGATAATTAAATATAAAATTTCATATTTTCGATTCAATAAATTTTAGTGGTATATCAACATCATTAGCTGTTTTATGCCATGAGATACCACATGAATTAGGTATAAATATATTAATAATATAGTGTTTAAATTATATAAATATAAAATTTTAATATATGATATCAGAAATTTAAATGTATAATTTATATTTATAATATTAGGCGATTTTGCAGTACTCTTATCAACGGGATTATCTGTTAAAAAGGCGGCATTTATTAACTTTGTATCGGCTTTGACCGCATTTATTGGTCTATACATCGGTATTATGTTGGGAACAGACTCACGTTCACAGAACTGGGTATTAGCCACATGTGCCGGCATTTTCTTATATGTGGCCCTAACTAATATGGTATGAATTGGTTATATTTATTATATATAGTATATATATATATTGTTTTAATTAATAATATTGTCTTAAAAAGTTACCCGAATTGAAGCAAAAATCCAAAACAAATCGCCCGTATTTAATGATTGCTGTGAAAAATTTTGGTGTTTTATTGGGTATCGTCTTAATGGCCATAATTGCTATATTTGAAGACAAATTTCGTTTTGAATGATAAATTGCCATAAATTTCTTTTGTATATTTCTCTATTTGCTATTTATTTCATTAATTATCAATAAACAAGAATTTATAAATAAATAACTAAATAATGAGTATAATATTAAATTTTTGTAAAAATAGACTGATATTAATCAAAATATCTAATAAGTACTTATGAATTGTTGAAACAGTAGGTCTTAAAATATAGAGTATTATTAATGTTATTATAAGATTAAAATGACAAGTGTTTGCAATGTATTCATGATTTTATTTATTGAAAAAGTATATTACGGTTATTTAATTACCGTAATCTATAATACGTAAAATATATGACAATTTCATTATTCACAATGAAACCAAATTTATTAATATTTATTGATTGGTTGATTTAGTAATTATTTAGGTTGATAGATTGATAGGTTACTAATATTATAGATACAGAAAATATAGTATTAATTACCGTAAGTTTTATCAGAACAGTTTTTTTATACACAAAATTTTTATTAACTAATTTTATTTTACAGTATAGAATTATTAACAATATAAATGTTAACTACAGGTAAAATAAAAATCACTACAAATTATTACTGGTATTAATCAAAACTTTTATTTACAATTGCTTTCAACGGTTCATTGCTTTTGAGATTACGTATAAAGGGAATCATGTTTTGGTTGACTATAATGACATTATATCCCATTTTCTTTAACAATCTAACGGACAACTCGTGAATACCAACTAAACCCGATTCACCCAAAAGTGAGTCATTAAATCCAAAACACATGAGAGCGCATCTATTAATTATTTAATGATAATTATTAAAGAATAAAAAGATAAGTACCGGTAATGTTTTAATGTATAAAAATACCTCTTAAAACCAGATGGCAATTGCTTAACATCATTGGATGGATCACCCGCTAAGACACCAAACTCTTTAATTGGTAGACATTCATTATCTTTGTTTGCTATAAATTCAGCGTCTATTTTTGCAATAAAATTATTTACGTTATTTAAATTAAATTATTTAAATTCATGTATTGTCTATAAATATACTCAAGTAATTAAGTGATACAAACCAATGGCAAAACCATAAGGTGTCAAAACATTGGTTTTTATGTCAGACATATAAGAAACCAACATTTGGAGGACATATTGTTTGAACTTTTCCGTCGAGTTTTCCCTTTTGGCCACTTCATAGTCTTTCATCAAAACTGATTCAAAATCAATCTTTTGGTTCATTTCAATCTCTGCGACGCCTTTTATGTTTAATAATTTTAAAGTTTGCATAACTTGTTTATAATTGATTGATGTATCGCTTCCTTCGTAGGTCTGACATGAACTCAACAGTTGATTATAAAAATCAGAATTCATTACAGAATTTAAATGATTTATTGGTAGACAACCCAAAATAGAGAGCGACCAAACATAAAGAAGCCATGAATCACTGTCCATATCATAACGATTAACTAATGGGATGATATAATTGTTCAAAATCTGGTTCATGGATGGCGAGTGGAAATTGAGTCGGGCAGCACTCGACACAAATACCAGAAAATCCTGAGCACTGTTTAAAAAATATTATTAAATATTATAAATACAAATAATATATTACCAATAAATGTAAAATTGATTGGTTTAACCTAAAATCATTGTTGGTGTTCATAATCTTCTCAATATATTCATCCATAAGTCTCGGATACGACCAGTTTGAGTGACTTATAGAAACCAATAAATCTCTTCGATCGGACGGTCGAACAGAATTTAAAAATTTCTTATTGCATAATAAATCTGAAGACTTCTTCAAAAATTTAACGTCAATATAATTGAGTTGTTTGAGAGCAGATACCATACGAATCAAAAATCTTTCGTTATAATTGTTTGGATCAATAGTTAGATAATTAAATCGATTAACAATTGCATCTATTAATGGTTTGGTTCGTCTATTCATTTTTGCTAATAATACCAATAAATAAGATAACGAATGCAATTTGAAATGATCTTCATCTGTGCGACCAATCATTTCAATAGCTATTAGTTCCATACGAGTGATAATTTCAGGACTCAATGATTGCCAAAGACATAACTATTAAAATATTATAAGTTATTATAAGATTGAAAATTTCTTTTCAAATTTATTATAAAATTATATTACCATTTGTATAATATCTTCATCATTCTCGGCGTTGTCTATCTTAATGACTAAATTGATGATCAATTCGTTAACAACTTTCAATTGTTGTTCAGTGGTTTGAAATCTGACGTGAAATGATAGACACGTCAGTAAATTATTTAGTGACATATCTTTGGCTCTCCAGAGGATCTCATTCTCTAAATGTTGAATCTGTGGATCAAATCAAAGATACTAATTATGTTAGAAATTAGTAAATTAATGTCAGTTATCACTGCATTCTTACAATACTAGTTGTCGGACGCAAACCCATCTCAAGAAATGAATGCAAACCATTGATGAGTTCATAATTTCTCAGATATTTGACATTATCTTCAATTGTTTTACAAATGTTTTGCAAATCTTTTTCTTCAATTAATTCATTAATATTTCGTTTGCCTTTCAATACGTTTTGCGATAAAACAAATATATTTTGCAAAAACTCTTTGCGAAAGTCTCGGTTGTGATTGAATTGATTGACATCTGTTGATGAGTTGATGACTGCCGAAGAAGTGTTAAGAAAAGTTGAGGATGTCTTCAGTGATCGACAACTTGTGATGTCATTTGAGACAAAATTATTAAAAGTATTATTAAATAATTTGACAGACAATCTGTGCAAACGATGCAATCGTATCAATGAATAGATAGACATCACCGTAGAGTTGGTCTCACAAGTCATCAAATGATTGCCATTAAAGTCATGCGATATTTACACACAAAATGTAAACAAATAAGTCATTCATTAAATGTGTTACACATATGTTGTGATTAATTGAAAGTCACTACAAATCAGTCACAGATTTTTGACATTTAAATATGTTTTAGTTTTTTTAAAATATTTAAATAAAATTATTTCAATTAAAAAATTTTATAATTGTTTTCTTTTATTATTTTTTGAATTAATATTTGTCTTTAAATAGTATTTATTATGTAATACAATATCAATCACTAAACCCCTTATAACTGTCACGTAATATATTGTCGACTAATTTGGCGCTTAATTTGTTGGCAATGTTTTGAATGGTTGTTGTGTTTGATAAGAAAATCACTTGAATTGATCCAAACAATGGATTCACAATCAATTGATTCAGTCGATGTCAACAATGTTGAAACATCGGACACAAAATCAGCCAATTTTATTGAAGACAATGCATCGACATCTAAGTCAACACTAATAATACCAGAAGTGTCATCAAATGCGAAGAATATGTCCAATAAATCAAGCGATAACTCGACTGAAGATAAATCATTGAAATTAGATCCGAAAGATAAGTCAAAGTATGTTACGGTTGGCTCAAGATTTATGCAGTCGACTAAAGATTGGGTCGACAAGAGGTCCAATGCTTCAAAGCAAAGACATGTTAGGTCTGGTTCGGCCACTCGTGGAACTGTTGGCACTCGTCCTCCGAGTCGAAACCCGACACCAAATGCCAAAACGAAGAAAGCTTCGACTCCGATATCAACCGATAAATCGCTAAACTTTAGTCACGTTTCGGTTATTAATGTAAGAGATAATCAAAAACCTGAAATAAAACTGAAGGGAAAGGGTTTGATAACTGGACGCAAATCTTTGGCTCCAAAACGGCTGCCTTTTGTCTTTGATTCCGATGCAAACACAGTGACCACTGCTTCAAATCGAGTCACTCCTATGTCTGTTAGTGTGGATAATGACACAAAAGTTAAAGAAATGGAAAATTCAGTCATGACTTCAATATATCTTCAGTCGGTGTTTCTGAATCTTAAAGCTAAACGAATGAAAAGTGAAAGACAGACAAATGCTTTGACTAAAATCACTCAAATCTGGTCTCAAACTAATGAATTGAGAACACAATTATTTGAAACACAGAAGTGTATAATAACTCTCAAAGAGACCATCGATTCAATTGATATCTTAGAGAAACAAAAGAATATTTTGGAAGAATATCTAAAGATAAGGACACAATTGGATTCATTATTTAATTGTTTAGCGAAACTAATTGGAGAACAAAAATTGCTTTTTAAGGTTGAAAATTGTACACAAAATGATTTTGAAAAACTCAATGGTTTGTCAATAATTTGAATTACTATTTGAAAAAAATTATAGAAATTATGGTATATTTAATATATGTATTAACATTTGTATTTTATTGCTATTTTTTATAGATTTGATGAAATTAAATGTTGACTCTAACCAATCGGATTCAATGGATAAGGCATCTAAAATATCTGATAATGTGGTAAACGCTAAAAAAGTTTGCGATGATATTAAAAGTTTGGAAAATGAATTCAAAGATTGCTATAAATTGTTTATAAATTGTGTTAAAGATTACGAAAAATATGAAAGAATTGAACGTAAAATAAATCCACAAAAATGTCTGTCAATTTCTAAATTGTTTTAAATTTTAAAGTAATATTATAATGATTTTATATTTTTATTACCGGTATTTTTTTAAATTGTTTATTAAATATGTTTTACTCTTTTTATAAATTATAATACTTTTTAATACTTAATTACAGTATTAATTTAGTTTCATATAAAATATAAGATGAATAATAATTTATTTTTACATCAAATTGAATAATTTGTATTCAATATATAAAACTACAGTATTAAAAAACAAATGCATAACTACTGTACAAAATAAATGTAATAATGAAACCAAAATTAATTAGTGATTATTAATTGTGTGAATAAAATGAAAATTTAAAACAATTATATAAAAATGATTTACCGTTTATTAGTAAAAAAAAAGAATTATTTAATTGTCTTTCTTTTTATTGATTCTCTTATTTGACTCTAAAGACACTTCATCTTCATTGTCATCGTCTAAATCTTTCTTACGTTTGGAGAACCGTCCCCTCAGATCATCGAGTGATGAACCGCTCAAAAGTTTGTGTTGAATGGTCTGTATCTTAGAGCTGGAGATTCCGTATATACCGGTCAAGAAGTTTTGGCAGACCTGAACTTTCTTTCCCCTGACGTCTACAAAGTAAGACCAGCTGACAGTCTTGTTATGTCTGATTGGATTCTGAACGGTTCGCTTCGGTTCGTCGGCACTCATAAGTCCGGCCAAGAAGTAGTTTTGATTACTTTTGCTACGAATCGACCAAAATCTATATATTAGTTGAAATTATAGATTGAATAACAAAAAATTATTAAACAAAACAAAAATTAAAATATATATTATATACAAACCTATTAAAGCAGTCCTCTTGTACTTGTGGTGCAAACTTTTTGAAGCATTGTTTCTTTAGACAACACTTGTCTACTGGTGTCAGTCCTCCCGACGGACGGCTAATCATATCCATGTCTTCATCGTATTGATTGACAACATTCACGTCCAATAGTTCACTTGTGGCCGGAATTATCATAATAGTGGTGGCATTGGCTGATATTTCATGACTGGCCATCACTGGCGACACTTAAAGGACTTTATTTTGACAGTTGATTACAATTAAAGTGTTTTTCGTCTATTAGTTGTCAACCATTTAAGTGAATTGTGTTATCTATTGAAATAGTGTTTCAATGAAAACCCATTAACTGCTTATAGAGAGAGTGTGCGCGCAATCAATGTATTCAATGCATTACACAACTGATGACAACAAATATGCAGTTATTAGTGTTTCAATTGAATGCTATGAATACACTTATCCAACAATAATTCATACAATTGTCAATGAATTTTGAAAAATATGTTTATTATTTTTAACAAACTTTTTGAAATTTTTTTGAAATTTCACTTTCATAGACTTGTGTCCACCCGTTCCCTAACGCGCGTCTACCGTCGGGAAACACTTAACACTATTATTGAAAAATTAAAATATAATACTAAATAAATTATAACTTAAATTTAATTTTCTATAAATAGAATAATTTATTTATAATATACAATACAATTTACAAATATTTACAATATATAGTTTAAACTTTTAAAATTCATTTAAATTAATAATAAAACTCATATAATAATTATATATCTGTATAATAAAATTATCAAAAACTAAAATATTAAATGTATAGTAAATTATATTAATTATTATTAGAATTATTATTACTATTATTGCTATTGTTATCGCAATTAGTGGCCAATAAATCTGAAAAATTTGGAGGAATTATTATTTCGCTGACAGTAATCAAAGTCGACTGAATATCGTTGATATCTTCTGAATGTCTCTTAATTTTTTGTGACAAATCACTAATCGGTTCTTCAATGACACCAATAAGTTGAGTGTCCTCTTGTTTAGCGCGACGAGCGGTGTGTTGATTGGCCCGACGGGACGTATCATAACGACCTCTTTGATCTTCAAGTGGGTCTCCGTTTACTAATTTTGTTTGAAGAACTCGTAGTCTTTTGTCAGAAATGCCATAAACGGCTAAAAAGAAACATTTGCAGACTTGCTCTTTGCGACCGCGAATATCGACCCAATACTTCCAACTAAGACTCTTATTCTTCTTAATTGGTCTACTCGTCACTTGTTTCGGTGATTCTGCGGCCATCAAACCGACTAAAAAGTAATTTTGCTTCGCGTAGTCACCGATTTGCCAAAAACTAAATTAAAATTCATTACAAAAGACATCCATTTAAATGAATTCAAGTCATATATGACATCAAGAAGTTATCCGTTGATACCGATTGAAGAGTTCGTTCTGTATCTTCGGTTCAACCCTTTCGTAACACTTCTTCTTTAAACAACATTTGATGACTGGAGTCAACTCTTGTGTCGACGAAAATTCATCGATCGATATCTTTTGACTTTCGTCCTCTTCTTCAGTCATCACTTGTTGTATCATTTCTGTGGCCAACAATAAGTCTGACATCTCTTATATCAATCGTTTGAAACAAAAAAAGACAAATCAATAGTAGATATGACTGTTTGGCAAAAGCTATAATACAGTTAAGCCATTTTGAATGTCAAACACAACAAGTAATGCTTAAAAATAGGCCAATAAATGGCATTTGAATGCATGCGTCGACTTAAAGGGCGTAACAAAACTTTTAATCAAAATTTATCATTTTTTTGGTAGTTATCAACAAACGTTTCGGTCGATTACAAACTCATTACTTTTATAAGCAATAACTACCGAAAATGTATTACAATATGCAGTAAATTGTATTTAAAAAAATAATCAAATTTTTAATATAAAATTCAACAAATTTATTTCACACTTTTGTTTAATGTCTGAAACATTATATAAATGCTTTACAAATGATATTATAGATAAATCGATAAAATATACATTTATTTAAAAAATATTACTGAGACTTAATAACATTTGATAATAGATTTAACATATAAAATAAAAATATTATTTTCTAACGTTGAGTGCATTTTTCTTTGCCTGCCATGTATTGAAACGATTTAAAGCCACTTGAATTTGACTCATGAGATGAGCGGTTAACTAAAATGAAATTATTTTATTATTAATTTTTATGTCAATTCCGGTAATTATATTCCCATTAATATATACATACATCTTGTGTATGATATTCACGACTAAGTTTTTCATGAAATGGTTGTAGTTTTAGATATTGAAATCTCTCTAATGTTTGCTTCATTTGACACAATTTGTCCTCAATCTGTGGACTCGTCGCCGGAAAACACGACCAAAAATGGCGCAACAATTCGTTTAAAGCAAACGATAAATTTTTGAGCTCTTTTTGGACGTCAAGCGGTACTTCATCTTTAAGGTTAGTGGTATGAGATGTCTTCATGAGCGCACCACCCGGTGATAACTCGCTTAAGGCAGATATGGCTGACGCAGATTGCAATACATTCTTACAGTTTGGCCGCCAATTGTCAACCAAAGAGTTTAATTGGAAATAGGAGTGAAAAATATTGTTTAAGCTATTATTATGATTGCTATCGTAATAACTATTATTATAGATATCACAGTCACCGTTAGGTATGGGACCCACTAAATACCGGTCTCTATTCTTAATATTAAGGACTGCTGTCTTTGATAATTGACTTCTGTTATCATCCAAATCTACTAAATGTGTCTTCTCTTCCAAACGTAATCTCTTAATGCGTTCCCTTTCCTGTTGTGATGCCATCACTTCGCTGTCATCAATCACAGGCGTCACAGTTGTTGTCAACGCATTCTTAGACTTTTTAGGAATATTGCCGTTAAGTATTGGCGGACCATTTAGTTGGGCTACGGGTTTGCTAAGTGGGGGACTGTTATCTGACTTATTAAGACACGTTTCCAAAACCATTATCGAGTGATGATTAAAACGTTTAATGAGTGCTTGATTTGAATTTGATAGTGAATTCATGGTATCATTCTTTGACTTATCGGTGTCTTCTTTATTAATATCGTTCAATGAGATGACCCGATCGTCCATTGATGACAAATCAACAAATGGATCGATAATGCCTTTCATAAGAGCTTTTTCAATGTCATTCTTTGAGTAATCATTAAAGAACTCTTTGTTTGAAGTATTGCGGTCTCTATGAAAATAATGGGACTGAAAAAATCGTTGCCAGAACTCCTGTTCCGACACCTTATGGGGTACACTCTCAAAATGCTTTCTTTTGACGGCCGGATATGTATTAAATATGGCGTCAATAATATCTTTAGTTATATTATATTTAATTCCGTTTGTTCCGTCAGATTGTGGCTGAATATCTGCCAGAAAAGCGGCTGAAACGCCAACTTTTTGAGCCAAATCTTCACTCTTGTCTATAATCATATATCAATCAATTAAACACATATTTTATATACTTATGTAATATAATGTTTGTAAATAAATTAATCTGTTTGTGATAACTAAATCGTCAAACAAATAGTTACTAATCAGTTATTGTTATCACTATTTGATAACTAATGCAATTCATGTAAAACATACAATAAATCTAAATATAATATCAAAAGTCTTATCATAACTCAAGTCATGCATTCATTTGGGATATACCGTACCTTTCAACTCATTTCTTCTGTTTACAGCATAGTTGGTCCAAAACTCTTCGGCATTAATGATATTAGAAGTCACCAAATCTTTATATAATCCGAACAGTTCTGGATCTTCATTAAGAATACGTGATTTCTCTTCAATCTCTTTCGATAATTTCCTCTTAAATTTCGGCAACAATTGGAGTAATAACTCCTTCACGTCATTCCTGTCCCTGAGTTGACTCTCGACGCCATTAGGATTAACAAAATGAAAAGTATCGCTGCCGTTGTCCAACACTACTTGCAGCTGAATCTTTGGTTTACCTTCGGGTGATATCTTTTGTGTCTTAATGTCGGCGTACTTATGAGATATGGTGAACGTGTCCTTTCCATTGGGCATCCATGCAATCCTTTCGGCCATCATATATAACGTTCCGTCGGCTTTCTTCATGCGGACGTTTTCCACAACTCGCAGCACGTCCTCCGATGAAGTCGTCATCGTTAACGTCGGCGATTGGGACTCACCCGACACTCACCTGTCAAGTGATTGACAATTAAGTCAAATAAACGATTAAACAAAAAGAAAAAAATGGTACCAAAAAAAATTGTGTCACTAATGACAAACATTTTGCAATCAATGATAATAAAAGTGTCTTTTTGTGGTCATGTCTTGTGGGGAGTAATAAGTGTTAACTATTAATGTGTTTTTGTATTGAGTTTGTAATGAATGAGTTGCTATTGAAGGCAAACAACACTCACCTAAAAGGACTGTTGTATCAAATAGACTGAGATTTGTTCAAATCGGTCACAAAAGTGGCCAATTGTTGGTCATATCGGTGCCAAATCTTTATAGAAATGACATGATATACCATTAGTATGGGATCAGCGGTTAGTTATCGGTGAAAACAGCGGTTAACCGATGCCTGAGATGACAGTCAAGTGTCGATCAGCCATAAGACATGTTATGACTGTTTTGTTCACATATAGTATGTGTTGTAGTATTATATTAATAGCTATAGTGTTGTATAGTATGGCGTAATTGGCATACATTAGTAATACAGCCATTGCTTTGAATAAAACACTATTGAAAAACATAGCAAACTATAGACAACTATAGACTCCCTAACGATACGGACTCCTATCGGGACTAAAACATACAATGCATTCACTACTCCAACACTTATGCCATACTATGGGGCAGTCTATGGGGCACTCAATCAAACACAACCAATCAGCGCATTAACTAATACACATACCTATGCTTAACATACTGTTACCAATATTTTATTAATTATTACTATTATTCAATATATAATTAATTACACAATAAATCATATAATATATATTACTATTTATTAATCATGTAATACATCGGCTAATGATCACTGTATCCATAGATGAAGAGGTTGTCATTAACGAGACTACCAGTGCTTACAGTGTTGGCGAGGGATTGAAGTTTGAAAGACATACGGATTGAGACATCTGTCGAGTCATTCATTCACTAAATTATTGATTTTTATTTGATTTCAATACATATTTATATTAATTAAATAACAATTAATTGTAATTATAATTAATTAAACATTATTTACATTACAATCAATGATAATCATAGACACTAACAGTGTATACAAACTATCCATTTATTATTAAATTATACCTAAATTTTGACATTTAGTTTGCCTATAGATTAACATTAAAATCAATTAATTATAGACTAAATACAGTACTAATTGTGTAATAATTAATTGAATTGATTAGCGATTAGACTATATTTTATATTTATATTAATCCTAATCATTAAAAATGTATTTAAATAACATTTTGATTGATTTAAATGTTTTGTTTATATGCTATTAGATATATGTATGTTATTGTATGTAATGAATGCATTGGTTTAACCGATTATATCATAAAATATCAAATTTAATGTGAATTTAATGTTAAACTCTTTGATTGTTTTACATAATTATCATTTAATTTGATTAATAAATGCAATAATTTCCTCAATTAAATAATCAACAAATTGTATCCATAAATATAATGCAAACATTATGTCCCCCATTGACTCAATTGTCAATACATTTCAATACAAATATATTGTTAACATTTGTTGACATTATTGATGTCTATTGAAGTGTCAGTTAATGTAAACACCAATTGATGTGTGATTTAAAAGGTTTTGTTTTTGTTTAAGTGATTGAAGTGATTGTCAGTCGATATGGATATCAATACATCATCTGAATTGGCTTTTAATGCCATTAAACAAAGTTTCAATAATTATAAAAACTTTATAAAACAAAATCCAATAATTGCTTCAGAGATTGAGTCGGCGTTGCGGTGGATATCGTATCTGATAACAGGTTTGCCATTTTAAGACACAACTGATAGTCCAATGATTTACATGTTTTTTGTCTTCTCATATGTTGTCCAACAATTAGCGACCAAATTAAACAACAGTCACATTGTTTCCGAGTTGTTGTACTCGTGTTCGTCATTATTATCCCTTTTGAATGATACCATCTTAAGGAAGTCCTATAACATTAAGATTAATGCCGTAAGTATTGACGTCATCCGAGTTGATGTCATATATCATATGATTAACTTTTTTATGTCATAAGATTGAGTTAAATATAATGATATTTTAATGTCCAGAACTCAGTGGTAGAAAATCTTGAGTTAGTTCTCACATTCATTGAATACATTCAAGTCTTCTCCGAGTTTACCGCATATCGAGTCTATGGTTTAGTTGGCAAATGGGTTATTGTTTCTGTTATTCAGATAACTAAGTAATTTCACATCTCATAGATTGTTACCAAATAAACTAAATTATTGAATCACTTAATTGTATTTCTATAGAGTGATAATCCGCTTAATACTTCTGCTGAAGTATAATCAGGGTCTTCAAAGACATCAATTAATTCCAGCTTTAGATCGTTCCCGTGATTTATCACTTGCAGCTGATTCTCCACCTAATGGTCTACATTCAGCAAGTTCTTCCGCTTCAGTTACTGAAGACGAGGACATAGAGTCGGCAACATTTAAGCTCAAGAGAACGGGTCGTGTGTTGCGAACCATAGAGAGTGCACCGCCGAGAACGCAGCGGACATGGCTCTCACCACAGGATAACTTTAATATAAAGCGAATCCTAGAAAAGCAAAAACGAACAGCACTTCCATCTGATTTAACTGATTTACAGATAATCGGCGAAATCTTACATATTTTGAAACCAGTTTTGCATTTAACATCGTTGGCTGGTTTTGGACCAAAATCCTGGACGCCGTACTTATTGTCATTAGGTTTGGATGTAACCAGTCTTCGGTTATTAAGTAATCCTCCAAATAAGATGTGGAATTTAAATGAAAGAATTGAATTAACTCAGCGATCATTTAGTTTGTTGTTATACCTCATGAGATCTCCCTTTTATGATAATCATACAAAAGAGAGAATATTGATTGTCTTGAGATTTATGGTCAATCATATTCCCATTTTTGGACGACTTATTCGACCAATTATTGAATATTTACCTGAATGGCAAAAAACATATTTCTATGTTTGGAGTGTTTAGTGAATTAATAATTACCAATAAATTCATCTATTTTTAACTTTTTATATATATATATATTTTGATTAGCCTTGTTTTAGACATAGTGTTAATTTATTGTTGGAAAACCATATTTATTGTGTTAATTTTATTATTCATAAATTATAAAACTTACCGGTATACAGTAAATCAATGTACTTAATATATAAATTATATATATATTTTAAAGGTTTTTTTTTATAAATATGATTATTGATTGTTAATAAATTTAAAGCTTTTGTGGATTATGCATTTTTGTATGGGATATTTAAATAAACATAAAATTGTGATTTATTTTCTAATTTGATGCCAACTTTTTATTTAGTTCATTAATATTTTATCCAAACATTTGTGTACTATATAACTACTATAATATGATATACTAGTAAATAAGTAATGGTCACACTTTTGGTATTTTTATGTGTGATATTTTTATCAAAAACACAAACAAATTAAACTAACGGTAATTAATTTAAAGTAAAAGTATGGTTGATATGATTTAAAATAAGTATTTCACAAAATCAGGAAATTGTGTGACCCATAAACCCAGACCTTAGTCAGTGATCGCTTTCTAATACACCAATACTGCACCGGTATGTGTGTGTATGTGTGTGTGTGTCAGTGAAACTTTGTAAAAATATTTTTAAATATATGGGTTAATCCGTCTATCAAATGATAATAAAAAGGCATCGCAAGTGACCAGAAGTTTCATTTAGTTGACAAGTTTTGGTCACTTTTTTACTTTTAGTCAATTAATTTTCAATCATTTATATTTACATTTAATTAAATTTAAATTAATAGTAAAAATGTTTGTAAGTATATAAATAATATAATTTTATTATATTTATAAATTATTTCTAATTACTTGATATTAATTAATAATTTGTTATTTTTTGTATTAACTCAACCAGAAGTGGTTAATCTGTCTGTTATTGTCTGTCACAGCCATCAATGGCTCGTTGCCTAACATTAACTCATTTATGCCAAACTTTTTTGGTTTGATCCCAATGAATGGTCAAATTAGTCTCAATGATCAGGTCTTTACATTTGGTGATCCTAGTCTTCAACAACAAAACACCCAAAACACCGTCCAAAGTGTCACTACTCAAGAAGTCACTGACATTGTTGGTCCACAAAATCCAATTACTATTAGCCAAACAACCGGTAGTTTTCCCATAACTTCTCAAAACGTACCTATAGTTGACTCAAATGAACCGACTATTCAACAAAATAGTGACTCAAGAATACCTGATTTTCTTCTAACACCAGTTGTCACGAATACCCAACCAATTAACAGAAGAATTCCTGATTTTTCTGAATCACAAATTCCGTCATTTGGTTCATTTGGTTCGCGTGATTTCAGTTTTGATAGTCAGACAAATCATCAGAGACCTCAAGAACCTCAGGAACCTCTAAGACCTAACTTTCAATTGCCAAACATTGGTTCCACAGAATTGGGCTCAACATTTGCCAGTAATTCCCGAAGCAATTTTGCCGATGAATTCTCAAATCCATCTTCCGGATCATCCAATCCTTTTGGTGGACTTTCAAACAATCAATTTCAACAACCAATGTCTGGACAATCAAACTTCAATTCGGCTGAACGACCTCTTGAAGTGATGCCTTTAATTGTATCTCCGGATCGATTACTTCAAAATAGCTCAATCATGACATCGCGTTTTGGCGGCAATCCTACCGGTGGTATGTTTGCATCGGCATCTGATGTCGACGAACACTTCCAAACGGTAAAGACAACACAAGACGATCTATTGACAAATAATGGAAACGAAGAGTCAAATAAAAACCCTATTCTTATATCCATTCCTCACGACTCGGTTACCATAAGCCGCGAGTCTTCATTTTCAATGCCCGAACCAACCATAAGACAAGTCATAAGTGATGAAGATTTTCACTCAAATTTGACACAACATTTGCCATCAATTCTCTTCCAAAGAAGCAGTGATCACATAATCAACGGAACAGATTCTCAGCCAACGGTGCGCTTCAACAGCTCTGGTCTTGACTTCCCTTTTGAGGCTCTCTTTCAACAACAAATTCTGCCGACTTTAAGCCAATTTGATGACCAAATGACACAAAATGAACAGTTATCCACACCTCAGATGATGACAACCACATCATCCAGTATTTCATCCAATCAAACATCAATCTAACTATCATTTCAATGACTTTTCATTTATTAGAATTTTTTAAATATAATTAATTATAACATTTATTGTAATTATTAAAAAATACATAATTTTATTATATATATAGACATATATTATTAATATTACATAGAAATATATATTTAAATAAATTTGTTTCAATTAAAATAAATATAAAGTTTTTAAGAAATTTGTGCTATATTTGAGAAATTATTTGTTATATTTTATAATTTTATAATCCAATGATAATTATATTATTTTTCAAATATAAATATAAGATATTGTACTGTAATATTGATAAAAATTGCTAAATAGGTATTGAATTGTGATTTAAAATTATTGGTCATTTCAATGGTTTTATATATAAAATTGTAATTTTTGTATTATTTATTTATTTATGGCATTTAAAGCCATTTAAACGATTTCATCAACTTTTATATGAAATTCAAGACTATGTTAGTGTATTAGCACTGATAGGTTGAGCGGACAAACAGTTATATTAATACTACTGTAGCATAACTTATGCTGAATAACATACCGGTGCTAATAATAGTGTACATGTAGTGCACTGTTAGGTGTCGTTGTAAAGCCTATTGTATTGCTTTTTAGTGAAAAACTGATTTGCGCTCAAAAACTCATTACAATTGATTAATATATTATTAAATATATTCAACTCATTTGAATGATGTCTTAATTGGTTTAATCACTGGACTGTTGACAATCAATTTGGACATCACTTTAACAATCATAAGACATTGTCGTTCATCTGTTAGGATCTGTCAGTGATAATACAAAAGAGGTTTTGTAACACAAAATGACTAACAAATAGCAAAATCAAAACATAACTTAAGACAAAGCCATGTGTTGTGTCCAAACAGTTGACTCATTTGATTGTTTTTATTAATATCTTAAGAGATGGACGGTTGGGGTGACCAGTCATACAATAGTCAGCCATCGTTTGGTTCAATGAACAACTCATACGGTGGTAATATGAATCAGTCGACCCGATCGGAAGCCTCTAATTTGGCGCCGATTAATGTCTCGGCACAGCTCGAGATTAAGGGGTTTTCAGGCGATACAGACATCGCTACCATTCGCAGCAAATTTGGCCGATATGGTCGCATTGCACGGGTTATTATGGATTATAGTATGCACTGACCATTTATGACCACTTGCTTATGATCTTAAACTATACGATGACTTATTGTATTTTATAGGAATCGTTGAGAAAAGAGTTAATTGTTATTTGGATTACGAAGTGGAGGGCAGCTGTGATAATGCCATCAGATTAGAGAACAATAAGAAAATCGATGGAAAGACTATTATAGTCCAAAAAAAGACAAATAATGACTTTCAAAGCAATGATGTGAGACAAACCATGACTTACTTTGATTATCACTTAATAATTGCTTATTTTGATTAAAGAGAGGAGCGAAGCGACCACGAGTTGATAGCGATGGCGGTGGTGGTGGTGGCGGTTGGGCTAATGATAATAACAAATCATCGAATTGGGGATCAAATAACGATGATTGGGGCACTTCTTCACCTTCTAATAATAAGTCTGATGGTTGGGGCGATTCTAATGGACGAAGTGGTGGCGGACGACCGGCAAGCGGTGGTCGAGCCTGTCATAAATGTGGAGAAGAAGGACATTTCTCACGAGAATGTCCTAAAGGAGGCGGCGGCGGAGGTCGTGGTGGTAGAGGAGGCGGTCGAGGAGGTGGAAGGGCTTGTTTTATTTGTAGCGAAGAAGGACACTTCTCGAGAGAATGTCCTAAAAAAGATTCGGGTGGCGGTCGAGGACGCGGAGGGTTTGTATTACAGATAATTCAAAATAATAATTAGTCTGATTTAAGTGATGATACAAATGCTATAAATATCTATTATTTTAACCGACAGTTTGTAAGCAAACTTATGAGTACTAAAGCATAGGGCCATCTGATCACAAAATTATTGTTTTGATTACCATTGACTTATTTTTTATAACTAATAGTTTATAATGAATGATAAATTATTTTCTTAACAGAGGCAGAGGCCGTGGTGGTCGTGGAGGTGGCTCCTCTTGGGGTGATTCAAATAATACTACTAGTGGTGGATCTGATTGGGGTGACTGGGGTTCCAGTTCTAATGATAACAAGTCAAGTAACGATTGGGGATCAAGTAATGCCAAAAACGATGATTGGGGTACAAGTAGTAATAGTACCGCAAAAGTTGATGATTGGGGAACCAGTACTTCAAATACAAAACCTGCATCCAGTGCTCCGGCAGCTGATGACGATTGGGGCACTTCTGCAGATACAAAGCCTAATACGACTACTAATCAGTTAGACTGGGACTCAATACTTGGCGGCAATAAGTCTACCACTGATCCACCAAAGACTGAATCAGATAACAAAAAAACGAACGATGACGACGACGGATGGAATTGATTGTCGATTGAATTACATTTCAACTGATATATCGATTTATTTGATGATTTCAATTATATTTTTAAAACATTATTGAATATACACTGTATATCTTAATCTCACAAACTTTAATCATATAATTAGTGATTTGAATTTATTTTTGTTTATTTTGAATTTCATTAGTGTATCACACAATCAATCTTTGACTTCTATTTCATTAACATTCACACAATTATTATTTCTACAAATTCCCAAATATATATATATATAGTAATTAAATCACATATAATTCACAGTAATTATTAATTAAAGACAAAAATTTTTTAGATAGTATATAGAAATATTGAATCATATATTTGAAACATCATTAACAATATGTAAATCACATAAAATTAGCTATTTTTGAAAAATTATGATTTTTTAGTTTTTTTCTTAGACTATTGAAACCACTAAATACTTTTTTGTTGGCAATTGACTAATCATTTGATGATTACTTATCTTGTATTATATTTTTTTAATGAAGTAACTGATGTATGAAATGAATGTTGTATTGTTACTATAAGTTTATATCAATTATTTAACCCAAATTACAACCCTTAACTCCTTTTGCTGTTAATAACATATCCTAACCTATATTATAACCAAACCTCTCATTTTATGTTATATAACTCATTGTTATGTTACTTATTATTTTCATTAACATTTTGATTTAACGCTCAATTAATAATTGATTTACAATCAAACAAATGAAATGAAAAAGATGTAATACAACGGTAACTCAATACATGAGTTGACCGTTTAATATGATATGATATAAAGCAAAGCAATGACTGAAATGACCACAAAATAAAGAAATGACTGAAATGTTTGACCAGATATTGACAATAAAAATGCATTAATTGATTGACTGATGAGATCCGTTGCCTAAAATGATTGATCAAAGGAGCGGATCTCTAAAACTAAGATTGTTTGACATTTGAATGTCAAGACAATAGATAGTAATGACACTCAAAATGAAATGATAGTCTTTCTCTTATAAGAGAAAGATGTCTGATGTCTGCAAAACCTATGATTAAGTCATAGACGGTATGAAATTCAATGTACTTTATATCAAGTAATTATTGAATGAGACAATGATAGCCAATATAAAAGGCTATGAATATTATGAACTAAAATAATATGTATGTAATGATAATTGAGATCATAAATAGACTCATATATGATATAACTCTATGACAACCTGTAGTCTCAAACAGATATTGTCTGATATATCATTTAAATTGAATATAAAGACAATAAAATGTTAATTTGATGGCTCATACACCAGAAACTACCCGACCTTTGGTCGTGTAATCTACTATTCAATTGAATTAAAAGTTACTGTCATAACTACTCATACAGTTATTGTTGTTTATTGCTTGAGATATGCAATGACTACACAATTAACAAATTAGTTGGTATTCACAGCAACACTACTGTATGACATACAATATAGCAGACAGTGATAGTAATAATTACTGATAAGTCTATTAAAAGTAATAATAACATATATATTTTAGATAAGATTATTGATTTTTTTTATATATATTTACTTTTAATTAAATTAACTATAAGTTATTTCTTAAATTTGTGGTCATTTGATTAATGTCTTTGCTTTATTAATGCCTTTTTATCGCTGAAATACTTTATAAAGATAACAAATTCAGTCATTATTGTATATATTTTTATATTTATGTAAATTTTTTTATGTATATACAGTATACACACATTAATTAATGCTATATATATTTAAAATATTTGTTACCAAATATATATTTTTATTTTCATTTATGTAATTTTTACCATTTTGTTTCAATTTTAGTAATTAAAATATTTAAATTTAATACAATTATAAAGGTTTAATAAATGTTTAAAGTTTGTTAAATTACTTATTTCTAACTAAAATTAGATTGAATTTTATTTGAAGAAATAAATTTAAGTGAATCACTAAAAGTGAAGATAAGGTTAATCATAGTTTCATTGGATTTATTCATTAAAATGAGTTTTTATATAAAAGTAATGCCACTATTGTTTTGATTGTCGATTGAATTTATCGTCACTTCATTTATAACTTTAAATCCAGTACTCAATAGTTATTTAGTTATCAGTGTTTGTCCACAAACAGCAAACCATTATTGACTGATCACCTGATAAACTGGTTGTCCACTCAATATACAGTAATTACTATTGTTTAGTACTGTAGCGCTGAACTGGGATTATGTTAACAAATATAATACAAATTTAAAAGAATATTCTGCAATATTTTTCATTGTTTACAAATAATTGTGTTAATTCTATAATATTAAATATAATATGAATTATAATATATAGTTTTTAATATGATATTGAAGTTTTTATTGCTTTATGAGAAACAAATATGATTGTAATGTGAAAATATATCATAATTTTTTTGTAAATTTCAAACAATTTGAAAATTTATTGATTAATGCTTTTTATTTATAGAAAACAAATCTATCATTAAGTACTACACTGTATTGTTTAACTATAACAATACTTTTCACTTTTATTAAGATTTCTGTGCAAACTATTAAATATATTTTACTTGTGATATAACTAGAGATAGGCAAATAGAAATTTTCAAATAAATTTTCCTGTGAAAATTTCTAAAAAGTTTCTCATGAATAATTTTCTATAGATTTTTTTATCATTATATTATGGGATTCCCATATCTATATCTATTCTAATACTGTACTAATGATACATAATATACACCACACACTACTATATTAATGAGATTTTTATTTATAAAATTAATAAAATTATCTAATTATTAATATAGTTTTTGTAAAATTTTATTTATAATTGATTTTTAGTTTAATGTAAGTAAATTAATTATCTTTTACTTTGAATATTAATTAAAATACTAATAATAAAATTTAGTTCATATTTATAGTTATAGAAATTGTTTTAAGATAACAAATATCAAAATAACAAAATTAATATTGGGATTTTATAGACAAAAATTTCTTTTAGAAACTTTCCAGAAATTTCTCTATTATTTTAGAAGTTTCTCTTTTTTGTCAACTCTATATATAACACTTGAATTCTACTGTACTTTCATTTGTTAAATACAGTATTATAGTTGAAGTGTTATAAAACTTGTATCACTTGAAAAATAGTTGTTAACTTACGGCAAATAACAATCCACTTGAAAATGTAATAAACTCTCTATTCTTATATTTAAATGTTATTTCTTATAACAAAATTTTAATACTATTGTACTAATTATTACTTTAGATACAATATATTTGTTGCTATATTTGACAAATTAATAAAATGCGACAATTATAATAATATATAATATCTAAATAATAAATATCTTTAATCAAACCTTGTAAACTAACATTAATATTAATTTTTATAGTAACCATAATGATAATATAAGATCTAAGATATAAAATGATTATTTTTACTGTAATTGTTGTTAATGTTTTTAAAAAATATATCTATAGTAAAGTCTTAATAAATTAAATAAAATTATCATAAAATTGTATTTAATTATAAAATATCTTATAAAAAAAGCTATTAGTAAATACATTAGTATTTGAATATACTAGTACTGTAAGTTAAAATGTTAAATATTTTTATCATAATTGTAAAATATTGACATTATGTCAAACATAAGTTAAATAATCTATGAATTAGTCATCAATTTGCAAAACTATATACCAATTCTTATATTACTTAAAAAATCTTATAAATTGTTTGCAAAAAAGTTGGGTATTTCTAAACTATTTTGTGAACGTGACTTCAAACACAACACCAATTAATTAACATAACTGATTATCAGTGATTATTATTATATACTTTCATATTATTATTATCTATAAATTATTTAAATTTATTTACAATAATATATATATATTATTTAAATTATTATTTAAAGTGTTGGTGTGTCCTCCTATTTTTCATTTGATTTGGCAATTTTGTTAACTTTTATTTAATCAATTATTTTAAAACAATAAAAATAAAATGTTTAAATGTCTATCAATAGAGTTTTTGGTCAGTATTTGTGCCAAAATGTTTGCATCGATTGTATTATCGATTGAATATAAGTGTTATTTCAAAAATATAACTAAAAATTTAGTATTATATAAAAAAACATTTTTTCTGATTTTTATATATTTAATGAGGCATTAGCCGTGAAATTAATAATTTTTCAAGAAATCGAAATTAAAAAATGTAAATAATATTTTTTATTAAAAACATTGTTTTATTATATACATTATTTTTTATTATTGTTATTTGAATTTATATACAATATTTAATAATATACAACATATTGTAATTACACAAAATAAATTTATTATATGCAAAACAATAATTTAATGCATTACATTATACTGTACTGTAAATGTAATTTAATATTTATACGCAAACATAAGTTTAAATATACTATAATATACAGGTACTAATTTATACTTGTATTATACAGTATTATAATGTATAATTTAATTTTAAGATTTAAATTCATTAAAGGAAAGTAGTTGTAAAATATTTAGTTTTTTATTCATATAATATTTTTTTTCAAATAAAAAAACTTTTTGTTGCAATTTTTTTTTATTCATAAAATTTTAAGTAATGTCTTAATATTTTTTTCTAAAGTTATATAAAATTTTGATTTCTTTATTATAAACAGTTTTCAAAAACCAACACATTTCTCATTTAAAATCAATTATTAGTTTAAAAAGTTAATTTACAATTTTTAACTTAAAATTGTTTATAAACACTTTAATTAGAAAATTATTTTATAATATACCATTGATAGATATAATAGAAAAAATGTTTTACTAATTAAAAATCATTTTTTAAAATTAAATTTTAGAAACAATTAAAGTTTGTTAACTCATTTGTTAACAAAAATTGATTTTAAAAATAAATAAATATAAAGTATTTAATAGACATATTATATATTAAATATATACTAAATATTTATATATTATACACCAAAAGATATACAAATTACAATACGTATTATATTTATTTTTAGTTAATTTATAAAATCATTAAAATTATTATTGTTTTGTTGAAATTTATTAATAATTAAAAATGTTATACACATCCAATACTAGTTTTATTAAACTATTTTTACAACTTTTATCAGTAATAGTAAAACAATTCTTTGATATCTAAATCATATCAATTAACTGTAATACTGTAAGAATTTAAACTTATTGTTTGTTTTAAGTAAATTTATTATAATTATCAATATTGCAATTTATTGTAAGAGTATATATTATTTAAATATATTTGGAAACAATATTTTGCATAACAATTATATTATTTCCTATTTATATTTATATTAATATCAAATATTTTCTTTATTTATTAACATACTTTTATTATAATATCAGTAATAAATCAATAAATAAAATTATATTCTATCATAAAAATTAATAATAATAACAATATATGATAATTTATATACTCCTTTATATATGTATAATATAGTAAATTTGGGAAAATTCATTATTGGAAAGTTGCCGATATATTTAAATATTTAAAAATATGTTATACAGATTATCAGTTGATAAGTTATATTTCTCAAAATATGATATCATCAAATATTTAATTAATTAATAATAAATGATAGACATCTCAATTATAAATGAATTAAATATATTATACACTTATATTAAATACAATTTGCATATTTAGTATATATTTTTTATTTTACTTATGTTATTAAATGTTATACATGTATATACGGTATAAAAGTAAATTATAATGTGTTATTATAATATGTAAAGATTGTTATTTAAAGATTTTACGTTTGATATTTAATTGTTTTAATGTAAAATTGAATCATTTAATCAGATATTATATTAATAGATTTTGATTACGTGACTAAACACTTGATTTTAAAAATAATTGTCGTTTCAAATATTACATAACAATTATAATCTAAGAAGAAAATATTTTTAAGGCAAACAAATTGACGTAATTTGAAACACAATGTATATGAAAAAAGTTATTATATCTTTATACTGTACTAAATGTAAATAACATGAAAATATTATTTCATAATTAATAATTAGTTGAAAAATTAGAATTATATAGAAATTTTAGTTAACATTAAACAACAAATAAAAATTTTTATTTACAAATCAGGTTTTTATCCATATTGTTGTCAATTTCTGATGCAATTTTACATTTGTTTATAATATAAAATCTTATGATTATTTAGCCATACATTTATCAATTTGTTAAATATGATTATATATTATGAAACTTAAACTTAAGTTTAGGCTTATTGTACGGATATATTAATATATATATAAATATTGTATATATGATATACACTATAAATAAATATTTGTTTTAAATTGTGGGTGAGCTGTGACTTTTGTCACGTTTTACACAAACTAGTTATACATCTACAGTAATATGAATTAATGTCATTGAGTTTTATTTAATTAAAATTAAGTGCATTTTATAACTATTAAATAATAACCATAGAGTGCAATGAAAAAAGAGATATTCATAAATTATATTAAGTTAAATAAATTATTTTTTAAAATTATATCTTAAAAATTGTTTAGTTAATTTAATATAATTATTTAACTAAACTAACAAATGTAACCCTCATTTTTTACATATATATTTCACGATCACTAATTTTTTTTATAGACATGTCTCTCAAATTACAATATCTCACAATTTCTCAATTATCATTTGGTACACATTGAGTGCTTTACTGTTATCATAATCATAACTATTTGAATTTAATAGGATATCTGCTATAATAAAATTGTTGCTATTGTATTGATAAATTATTTAAGTAGTTATCAAATATTATTTATTACTTGTTTAGTTATCATTAATTGTAGATTCTGTAATATTTTATCTTAAACCTCAAATCAAAAGAGCAAAAATTATAATTAAAATTTTTATATCATTTAAATATAAACGAAACTTATTTTTAGCTACTGTTCTGTTTAGGTCATCATTAGACCTAAAAAACAATTTTAATTTACTTTCGGTTCGTTTTTTTTATTAAAATGACATTAATATAAATCTCTACTCATTTTTTTCAAGTTTATCTAAATTTAAGCTTAAAATTTTATAACCATGCAATACATTTGTAATAATATAGTATATTATTTGTATACTTTATATTAGAGTCTAATAATTAGACCATTTATACTAGTGTTGTCAAACAAATGTTTTTAAAAAAATTATTATTATGTAAAATACAATTAAATAATAATCAAGATTAGTCAAAATAAGCAATGACTTAATATTTTGCATTATATCTCATGTATTGTTAAAAAATTAAAAAATCCAAAATTTTACAATAAATTAGTAATATAATAATAATTAACTAAATAGTGTTAATAATATTAACTACAGTAATATATATTTTTATATACAATATATAATCAATAATTCTGCAATAATTATAATTGAAAAATATAATTATATAAATTAACAATAATCACGAAAAAACACAATCATTATTATTCTACATGTATTTACCGTTTAATAAATGAGTAAGCTATTATTATTATTATTATTATTAAATATCTACTAAATAATAAATATTTGTTAAATATTTATTTAATTATAAATATTTTAAATACCCTAAATATTGATGTTATGTTAGTTAAATTCAAAAATATTTATTAACTATGTATATAAACTAGTTTAGTATATGGAATAATTTATTTTAATTTTAAAATATACAAATTAATAATAACATTTATATAACATACATGAAAAATATAAATAAATTATTGTAAATAATATCCACTAAAAAATGAGAGTAATGTAAATGTTTTATTTATATAGAAAATAAATAATTCGTAAAAAATATGAGAAAAGTTAATCAAATGTTTTGTTTGCAGACATAAAATGATTGATAACTTAATTCACTCATTCAGTATATTATATATTTAATAAAGATATAAAGTTTTATATTATTTTTTAATTTAAATAAAAGCAAATTATAATAATCTCTTGTTTGAATTTTTTTGGTAAAAAGTAAATACAATTAATACTAAATAGCATTTGTATAATAATAAGGTTATTATGTGTACAGAATTAATGACTGGAAATGAGAAAAAATTTTTGTTTGGAGATAATAATTGCAAAAAACAAACAAATAAATAAAAACTAGAATTAAAGTCATATAATAATAATATGGAGACTATAACTGTTGTATAGTTTATTAATACATTTTATTTGTAAGAATTTGGAGCAGTATTTTGTTATTAACATATAAATTGTATTAATAATAAATATAACGATTAGAATATAAGATTATTGTTAGAAACTGACAAACTTTTTTGTGAACGTCAGTCAGTATGTATTGTTACGTACAGTATATACAGTACAGTACTATTGAATATTACTGTATAATAGTAAGCAAATAAAAAATTGAATTATACTGTATTTAATAAAATGAAATAAAATTCAATACGTTTGTCGACAGTAGCAATGGGATGGGCTAACTAAACATATCATCATCTGACTGACTGTAGACACGATTTTTTCTCTCAAATAACATATAAATTGGAAAAACTTTTTTAAAACTTTTTCATTTTATCCGAAAAAGTAAGATAACTAACAGTCAGTCAATGATTTTTGTGTTTGTCTCTCAATCTAACAGTCATTGACTAAAGAAGTCTACAAAAAAAGTTTTCATAACGTGTTTTGACGTCTGTATTCTCCCAACAAATGCTGTATAATATCCATAATAATACCTAAGCTATAAATACAGAGAGTTGTTGTGTGTGAGAGGATTGTTATATTAAATATATGACTGTTTTAATATTGTGTGTTAAATATATATATAGTTGTGTGTAAAATGAGATCGTTGTACGTGACATCAACCATAACTACAATTTTCATTTATCTATATATTGGCTGCTTTTGGCATCACTTGAATTGCGCTAAACTTGACTTCGACCAACTCGTCAGGAGGTATGCACTCAAGTATGTATTGCACATATGTTTCACCACAACATACACACACACACACACACACACACACACACACACACACACACACACACACACACCCGACCCCCTAAAAATCCATATCCCGACACTATGTTAGCCTCAATCCGATACTATTTCATGGTTTGGCGCAAACCTACGCTTGCCTTTGAAGTGCATTTGAAAAGTTTTTAAAAAGTTTTAGAAACAAATCTCATTAATAGTTTGCATCACTTGTGTGGTGACAGTGTATCCGTGTGTCTGTCAATAGTATGATATTCTTGTCTAACATACATGAGCTGAGCTACAGTCCCAAAGCTCAAGGTCCATCAAGGACATTCACTTTCTATTCATACTAATACTGTAGAAAAAATAACTAATTTTTAGCATATATATTGTTTTCAATATTCAAATTTGTTTATAATTTATATAAATCATTTTCATATATAAAAATTAATTATATCAATTAATAGTTAATTACATATAATCGGAAAATTTATGTTATTTTAAAATTATATTTCTTGCAATTGAGCAAATGATAGACGTATTAATTAAGTGTTGTTTAAATTAAATGTTTAATTAATTTGTCATTACCCAGGTTAAATACAGTAATATATAAAAAAAATATATGATTACAAATTTGAATAAAATATTAGTATATTAAATTGTATATTGATTAATTATACAATTAACCTAAAAACTTCAGTTTAGTTAGATTTTATTTATACTGAATATTTAAATATTTTTGATTAACATTTTTTGTAATCAATTGATGTTTAATATTATTTTGTTATTAATTTCTTTTAAAATATGAAATTTTAAAATAAATGTAATTTTTAAGAACATTTGGAACACATTATAATAGATTCCTTTAACTACAGTACAAAAGTGTTAAATTTAGTACAAATTAATTTTGATAATATTTTTTATCATTACATTCATAAAAATTGTAAACTTGTTTACTAATTAACTACTAAATTATTTTTTTAAAATAAAATTTTTGCACTAAACAATACTTATTTTTTTATCCAATCTATTATTATTATTTACAGTATATTTGATTAGTTTAGCATTAATGTACTAAATAATATTTATTTTTTTAAATCTAAGTCCAAATATAATATTTTTATCAAATTTATAATTTTATTGTGTTATTTTTATTATTAGACTTTTTATTTATAATAAAATTATTAAAAATAACATTTAATTAAATATTATTTTTATATATTTGTTGATTAAATATATAGATTTAGGGAATTGTTGTCAGTATTTATATTTTTCAATTGTTATAATTCAGAAATACTATTATTGATTTTTTTTTAGTTATATAGTTTTTATAAATGTTTTTATTTCTTATAAATTACTTTATATATATTACACAAGTGATTCAAACGGATGTTATAGTAAAATACATTCAATTAATCACCAGTTTATCAAGAAAAAATAATATTTAGTTTTGTGAATAAAACCTAAAATTTTCAGTTTCATCAGTTTTATATATTTAATACTTTTATTTTTTTTAAACTAAAATAATGAAATATTATGCAATTAGTACACTTCAGATTAGTTAATATTATTATACATAAATAAAATAAAATATATAAATAAAATATTTCCTAACTATTAATCATATACACAAAAAATTAGATTAAAAGATAAACACTTGTATATTACTGTACAAACAAAAATGCAAATGTATAAAAGCTTGTAAAATATTTTTAAAGTAAATAATAATTTAATTAAATTAAATGTTTTTTTCTTAATAGAAATCGTCGGACTATTGATCCGATAAAAGTGGAGCCAAATGTACTTCAAGTTATGAAACTTTTGCGTAAAGGAAGTGTCGATGACAGCAATGGACAGCAAATGTTAGAGTAAGTCATAATTTTTGTTATCATTTTTCATAATTTATTTTATAGTAAATTATTTGTTTTTAATAGTGAAAAGAGAATAGGTTTTGGATTAAATCGCGGTTATTCTGGCAGTCAGGCGGGCAAACACTTGATAGGTGTGTTCAATGCTATTGCAGGTCCGGGTGGACGACGAACTAAACGATCGTCTTTTATATAAATTTAATTACATTTAGTATTTATAAAATTATTTAAAAGTATTTTAAATTATTTATTATTTGTACATTTTGTAGAAAATATAATTTTATTTTTTTTGTTTTAATTTATATGTGAATATATTTTAACACAATTTTTATTGATAATTCAATTTTGAATTTTAATTTTTATATAAATATATGTGTGTTAAAATTAATATGATATATTAATAAATGATAAGTATTAACTGACAAATTATTTAAAATATATTTTATCTTAAATATACACATAATTTATAATAATATTTATATAATATTTAAATGTATATAAATATTTATAAAAAAATATGTAATTAATTTCATATATTATTAAAATCTTATATTTAATTAAATAATTAATAATTAATTGTATAAATTATAGTTTCATTTATTAAAATTAAATGCATTTAAAATTAAATATTATTTTTTTTACTTATTAGATTTAAAATAATTTTTTATATTTATAACATTATTTATTATAAATTTATGTGATAATTGTTATTATAATATAATAAAAATTAATTTATTAGTTATCATGATTGTTGATGAGTTATTTTATTTTATTATTTTGCTTAAAATGTTTTGAATTTTTAATAAGTAATTTAGTTAATTTACAATTTTAAGTAAGATTAGTTATATTTCACTTTAAAATTAACATAAAGTATTATTATAAATACAATACAGTTTTATATACAATTAATATAAAAAAATATAATAACTAATTTTTAAAATTTTGTTAAAATTGAAATTATTTTTTTCAAAAATAGTCGAAATAATAATACAGTATTAATGTATATAACTTAGTGCACTAATTGTGAGACTAATTATATAAATAAAATATATTACATCATATAATGTTTTAAATCCACAATGTTTTGTAGCATATTTTCAAACAAATTTTTCAAATTTGTTTTATGGATTCTATATATGTGTGTGTGTGTGTGTGTGTGTGTGTGTTGGTTTTCGAACTTCGAATTTTGAAATTCTGATTACAGATTCGGTTAGATCATCAAAAATAAGGTATAGGGGATCAGCATTAAAATTTTGATATCTCTCCAGGTACTTAGAAAAAATGGCGGCCAAAGTACAAAAAAATAGTAAAAAATTTTTAAGTTTAAAATTGAATAAAGCATCAAAGTAAGTTATAGGAATAAGAAATAAAATTTGGAAAATGAAAGAGAAAATGGCGGATAAATTAAAAAAAATAAGGTTTAGTTGTTAAAATGTAAGTTAAACATCTAAATGCAGTTAATTACAATGTTAAGTTATAACAATAATTTTTTTTTATAAAATGGTGGATAAATATCCATTAATATTGCATCATAAAAATTGTCACTTAATAGTTTAGTAATATGACTCATATGGTCTAATTGTTATCATGAGTAAATATTTTGCTTATATGATAATAAAAAGTAATTTACGCAATAAAAATTTGTTTTAGATAATGCTTTCTAGCATTTTCAACTGGTTTTATAATGTTTATGTAAAATATTTTATTAATATTATTAAATTATAAAAACTCATACATACTGTTCATAATTTAGTATTAGAGTATATATTGTACACTAAATTTTATACACTTAAAAATATAATGTATTTTATATTTTATTAGTCAAAAGTACATAAATTAAGATTAAGAAGTGTTTGGGGTTTTGTTAGTCACACTTGTATTACATTCACACGACTCGTATAAGCCTTATATTTATTTGCGAATAATTTCGTTACGATTACTATAAAAAAAATCACATCAAAAACAAAATTAAATTTTTAATAATATATCAAAACTATAATTAATATTTTTATACAGTTTACGTTAGAAAATAAGGTTTTGTTATTATCTTTATTATTATTTTTATTATGGTTTTTAAGATTTTTACAATATGATTGTATTAAATATTTATAAGCATATACTATAATGTTAAACAATGTCAACATAGTGTATAATAATTAATCATTAAATGATTAAGCCATATTAGCTAAAAGTAAAAATTTAAATTATAAACTATAGGTATAGTAATTAAAATGACCATATTACATTAGGCGTGGTTCACATATTACGTTCGCATTTGAGGGGAGGGGGTTAGCCAAAGCGAACTTTTGCGAACGAGGGGGGGGGTAGAGACTTTAAGAACGATCCCATTTAGATAATATTTTATTTCTTGTGGTAGGCGGGGGGTAGCGGTTAGGGACATGCGAACGTAATTTTTTTAAATAGCTACATGTGAACAATTGCGAACATAGGGGAGGGAGGGGTCTAGATTTCTTAAAAAGTGCGAATGTAATATGTGAACCACGATGTGAACCATTATACATGTTATCCCATTTCCATATCAGACTCTCGATTCCTGTATAGTACAGGTGACACCTGTATGGGTGGTCAGTCTAATAAAATTTAGTAATGATTATTTTATATTATATTGTTATAATAAAAAGTTAAGATACTATTAATGTTTGTATTTATATATAATTATTATTTATTTAAATTTTAGTTAGATTATTAATGTTTGGTTAAAAATAAATAATTTATAAAACTATTTATACATTTGTTAAATACCAGTGAAATCTTACAAAATTGTTAACTCTTAAAGCATTGGGTATAACTAGGGTTCGGGCAAATTTGTTCCCTCGTTTTATTATCCAAAAGTTTCCTATTTTTCCTGCTTCCAGGATATTCCCAGGAAATCTATTTCCTTGTACTACCACTTATTGAACTTTAAACAACAAATTTTATTATAAGATTTAAATATTAAATGTTGTATTATAATGTATTTTGAGTGTTATTGTTAAATACTATCACTCGTTTAATTCAAATTTAATTTTAAATATTTTAATAAAATTTTATGCAAAATAATAAGTTTTGGTTATTTATTGTAGAAAATAAATATATTTTCTTTTCTAACGAGCTATGGAGAGAAAATAAAATATTTTACATATTAGGGAACTTCCCTCTTATGTATAGGTTGCCAAACTCTAGGTATAACACAGAATAATACATTGTTGACTATTTGGATAAATTAGTTAATAACAATGAAAAACAAACAAATTTGTTTAAATGTTACAAATGTGTATTGATTTGACAATAGATTATGTAATAATTACATTGACTTAAACTAATATGTATTCTCATACGATATTACTATACAATACTGCAAATGTGAGCTTTTTATTGATACGCTTACATATTATATGTAACATACAGTATATCTATACATTTGACTAAATCAAAAGTTAATTGTCTGATATATTTGCAATTTCATAAAATAATTGACTTATTTATTTAGAAATAAATATCCGGTCATTGTTTATGTTGTTATATAAAGTATATATATATATATATATATAGTTTGTTTGTTTGTTGTGTCCCACTTAACTAATTTCAGGTAAAATGATACAGATAAAAAGTTTATTTAGTTTAATTTGATGTCAACGATATATATATAGTAGATAACAAAACAAATAGATTTAATAAATGGAAAGGATTGACAAAATTTAGTGAAACTTATTTGGAAAGTATTAAGATTAACGTTAAGTCATTAAAATAAAAGACAACAATTCAATACATTACACATTACTGTATACAGTATACTATATTTTTGATTAATCTAAATTTTATTTCGACATTTACTTTTATAATATTTTATTTTTTTATTTCTAAATTTAATTTAAGTATAGTTAGTTAATTAATATATATACAGTATATATATATATATATATTATAAATTTGATTATTTTTTATTTATTAATAAAATTTATAAAAATTATAGTGGTTTATCTAATATTAAATCTATTATTAGTATTTTTTGTCATAACATGTTTTGTTATACTATAAACAATTATCTTAATATAATTTACAATAATAATACATAATTTAATAATATTCTAATACAGATAATTACTGTGTACTGTATAAATAATGTGACTTTATTTGCACAAAATTTAATTATTAAATATCTGTTTTATTTATTGAAATTTTTATTAAATAATATTTATTAAAATATCTAAAAAACAATAATTTTTCTCATAGTTAGTCATAAGTTAGTAATACCAAGTTATATAAAATAAAATAAAACATTTGTTTCAAAAATGACCAAAAGTTATTTAACAAATATCTGTAGTATTTTTTAAATATTTTTTAAATATTTTTTAAATATTTTAAATATAAATTTAAATACAAATATATATTTTACATGAAAGTAGTTCTAAAACTTAATATAAAGTATAAGATAATCTTTATTTAAAACAGCATTAAATTTACTTTAAAATTAAAGTTTATTTATATTTATAACTAACTGGTAATGTATTTAACATTAAATTTGATGTCTTATACAGTAATGTTTGTTCAGTACTTTTTTAGAGACAATGTTTTACACTTTACCCAACACTTGAGTATTTGTCATCTCATTCAGAGTCAGATATTAATGTCAGATACTGTTGTAACACAAACATTGATATCAATTTTTGATCACTATTTGAACATTTTTTCTATAAGAGAGAGAGAGAGAGAGAGAGAGAGAGAGAGAGAGAGAGAGAGAGAGAGAGAGAGAGAGAAAGATATTGTAAAAATATTACGATTCAAATATTTGTTTTGTTGTTTTATAGTTTAAAATGCAGTAGTTTAACAAAATAAAAATAAATAACTATTAAATAAATTATATTTTAAATTGATCACTTTTTTAATGTCATAAAAATAATTATATTAAGCGTAAACTAGAAAAATAAATTGCTAAAGTTGCTAAAAAAATATGAAATTTATAAAAATTAATCTGCTCTTAAAACAAAATAAAAGTCAATAATTTTTAAGAAAAATTATATTATATATTAAATGAATGAAATGTATAAAGATTTTGTGTGATAAAAAGTTTATTAATTATATTAATTTAAATTAATTTAAATAAAATACACGGAATGTAACAAATTTTATTTACAAATAATAAATTTATTTTTATAGTAATAATCAGAGAATAAGTCAATAAATTTAATTAAATAACACTTCAATAAAAATTATTTATTATAGTTCTATACATTTACGAAAATTTCGACTACATTTACAATTATATTTTTAAAACTGCTGTTTACAATAAATCTACAATATATTTAAATCTTTAGTGTTGTAATTGTTTAAATTATACAGTGTTTGCAATATTTAAAAAAATGAGATATCATAGTGTTATATAAACATCTTTTCTTTTGTAAAGTTTGTGATAATACACAATCACTTTACTCTCACTTTTCAATCACTCGTTCAGTTTAGTGTCAATTATATCCTATAATAATATATAGATATTGTACTGTATTTTAACAACAAAATATTTAATTATTTATTAATAATAATAATACAATATATAAACATTAATAAAAGTATAACAATAACAATAATAATAAGTATAACTAAAATAACTTATTATAAGTAAGGTATAAATTATTAAATAGTTCAATAAAAGTTTCCCAAAAAATTACATTTATTTAAAAGTAAAGTAAAAGTTTGAAAAATATTAAGGATATATAAAGTTTGATTTTTTGGAAATTTGAGAAAATTATATTTATTATGAAATATGACATCAAAGTGTTGCCAGAGATTTGCACTGATATTATAAGTTAGATATCATAACAATGGTTCACTTGCGTCGTCTTCCGGGTCCGTTAGCAAAGCTGGCGGCAGACATACCCATCAAATGTTTGGCCGCTTGACTGCCAGAAAAGCCGCGACTCAGTCCTAAATCGATACCACGTTTTTGACTATAAAACAAATGTTTACAAATATACAATAGTATTAAGAGTTTTTTGACAATTATTTAAATATAAAAAATGTCAGATTTATGAGTGAAAGACAAAATTTAAAGAATTAGTTTCGACTGACTTCTTATAGCTGTTATAATCAGTGTTTGCAATACTTTGTGCCAACGATTCCAAGACATTCATCACTTGTTCCGGATTCTCGATCTCAATGATACTCCTTTGCAGTCTTTTATCATTTAAATTATATAAACAATAATAAAAACAATAAGTTTTTCTCATAATACACATCATAAACATAACAATAGCTATAATATCATTATACAGTTAATATATTTTAATATATTTTATTAATACATAAATATATTATTTAATCTCAATATATCTACTATATATACTACTAATTATACAATAAATTAGGAACAAATAAAAATTAGTTATAGAATTTCAATTTAGTTGTATTTACAATATTATAATAAAAATATTTTATTTTATTTACTTCATTTTTATTGTGTTTGAATATAACTTTCTTCAATCCATTATATCAAACAATTGAATGATTGATGAGTTTATGTGCTTTTAAATTATTTATTTGAAATATTATTAACTTATATAACAGTATTAGCAAATAGGTGTATTTGATATCAAATCATTGCTTAGATCTATAGATTCAAATAAATTGCTGTTTATGTTATATGAGTTATATATATTATATATTTATATATAACGGTATAATAATAATATGATTTATATCATAATGACATATGCAAACTAAATAAATAGTAATATATTTGAGAATATTATTAGATAATCTTTAATAGAAACAAATATAGCTTAATAAGTGGTAAATATGTTGTTTAGTCAAAAGTAATTTCACAAAATTACACAATTTATAGTATTTTAATGAACTAACAATAGGACAATAGGGTTGATGTTTTAGTGTCTAAAAAATAACAAAATAGTAATAAAAGTTGCTATTTATAGGAGAGTAATGTCTTTATTTGTTTCTTTACATTGAATTTGCATTAACTTTTTCATATCATGAACTTAGTTAAAAAAATTAAACTTTATTTTTACAATATTACATTATAAATAATCTGTTTAAATAATAAATTATAATAAAAAATATTTGACTAATAATGAAATGTCATTAACAGAATTTATTTAATATTATATTATTTAAAACATTTATAATAAATATTAAAATTGAGTAACAGTTTTGCTAAAATTTATTATACGTATTCATTTATTTAATAAAATTTTAGTTATTTATATAATACATATATTATATAAATATACTAAATATCACTAAATTTCTTTCATATAAATATTAGTATTGTGTATTTATGTGCATAAAAGCGATTAATATCACATAAAAATGATTTAATAAGTTTATTTTTTCTATAAAATTTTATTTATTCTAATCTAAAGTGATATTTAAATATTAATATTTTGACATTTAAAGAATAAATATTTTCCTAAAAATTGCAATATATAAATATTATATCAATATATTTGTTTCATTAAATTATATATTAGAATTCTAATTAATAACTGTTTAATTGATAATATTCAAATTGTTATTACTTAAATTTAGTTAACATAATTTTTAATTTACTTCAATTAGTCAATAACTAAATTAAGACTATCATTAACTATATTTAATATATTTATACTAAATGCTATTTATAAAATTATCTATAATTTTTATACATACTTTATACATGTGTTTGTAACTATGTTTATAAAATACAGGCAAATACATTATAAATGAAAACATTAACAATAAAATGTATAATTTCCAGTTTACATAACATAACGTAAATGCAATAAAATCTTTACAAAAAAACCAAAAATTAGTATTAATACATTAGACTTTCATTAGACTTATTTTTTTGTTAATAATTTATATGAAACATGTATGAAAGTGTAAATGATTAAACTTAATTTTGATCATTTATACTAAAATTTAACATATTTTTATATAACATTTTTCTATGAATTGAATATTTAGAAAATTTCTAAAGAATATTATTTTTTTTAATATTACAAAAATTTTGATTTTAAAAATATTATATTTTAGTACTTTATAACAAATTTGGTTCTATTAAAATGTTTTTATAAGATTTAATTTTAAACATTTTGAAAAAATCTAAATAAATGACTATTTAAATGTTATTTTGGTTATTAATTTATTAGATATGTTATATTAATATTGTAAATAAAGTAATTTTTCTTAAATATTTATATTGTTTTAAATGTTATTAAGCTATAAATATACATACCTTTTATCATTTTGAGGAAATGCAGAAATTAATGAGACATATATTATGGATATTATTATAGCAATTGAAATACACTTCTCTGGGCTTAAGTTCTTCATTTTCTGCTATAAAATAAAAAATATATTGTTTAAATCAATGTAAACATTTAGATAAATTTTACAATAAATTTAACAAATACATAGTTTTAATTATTTGAATTACAATTTATAATGTTTTTTATTTAAACAGAGCAATGATTTATATATATTGTATATTAAACATGATTGAATTGATTCAAAGTTTGAATTTCAAACATATAGTTAATTTAACAAATTGTCATACTTTAATAGTTAGAAAATAACTAAAACTAATTATTTACTATAAAAAATACAGTACTATTGCATTGTTTCGACAATTTGTTAATTTAACTATATTTTTGAATGAATTCATAAAGTTTAATATTATATATGTTTATAGATTATTCGTCCAAATAAAATACAATAACACAACAAACAAAATATATTATACATATTTTATGAATTATAATATAACTTAAATTTATTTTTTTATACATATAAAGCCAATAAATTTTTTAGTTTTGAAAATGTGAAATATTGAACAAACATAATATCATATTATGAGAAGACATTCAATAAAAATAAATATTTAAATATTTGAGATATTTTTATTACTTTAATAATGTATTTGTTTTACTATAATAATGCTTAAAGCAATAAAATGTATAATAATAATGGTTACCCTAAATAATATAAAAATTATTGTTATATACTGTAAATACTTATTGATTTAATGTTAAATTGAAATATATTCAACAAGTAATACATAATTACTCTAATTATTAGTTTACCATATTTTTAATATATTATAAAATTCATAATTAAATTCTTTTATATAATTATAAAAACCTTAACGAAATTCATTGCCTCACTAATTATCAATAAATTGTATGTTTTCATTAAATTTTATTTTAGTAATTTATCAAATTTATAAATTAATTATATTTTAATTAATAATTAAAAAATAGTTATTAATTTTTATTATTATAGAATATTTTAATTTTGCTTTTATGATTTTTTGTGATATATTAATCATTTGTATTACAATATATTACATTTGGAGTCAATTGCTATAAATATTAAATGCAAAAAAACATATTTTTATATTGCGTTGAATCGCATCAATAATAGGCAATCATTAATGTAAAACAATGTCTTAGTTTATATACAATCGGGATTTGAACCAACAAAACATGTTTATTATAAAAATTGCATTTCTTTATAGGGCTTCCTGTTATTAATATTATCGTTTGATTCATACAAAACAATTTTTTATATAAACTATAAGATAATGGTTTTTTGATACATAAATTAAAAATACTTTTATGATAAACATCACAATTTATGGTTTCACTACAGTATTATTTTAATATAAAGATAAATTAAATATAGGACAGTATAGTATTACACAAACATAATAGTATATATATATATATATATATATATATATAAATTGTTTATATATAATATGATCTAAACTTTAGTTGTTATATAATTTTATTGTTTATTCACATAAACAACAAATATAATATAAAGTAAAATGTATTTTAGTGTTGCTAAAATATTGGACGAATTTTCATGATGATTCCATTAATAAAAATTAGAAATTGATTTTTAAATAAAAAAAAAATTGAATTAAAAATTTTGAATTCCAAACAAATTGTTACAAATAGAAATATATCAAATAATACTATGATTTATATGATATATAGAAATTTATAATATTAAATTATTGATTCTAGTGGTCAACAAATAAGTTTATCAAAAAAATCACTTAAATAAAAACTAATTTTATTTTTGATTAAATTTATAGTGACGTTAACACGTTATATGAATTATATTTTTATATGTATGCAAATAAAAAAACGTTAAAAAGCATTTATAAATGGATTTCAAACACATTTGTGACAAAATATAATCTTATTTAATTCAATTTAAATATAAAATATAAATAGATTTTAAGCAATTTATTTTTAAAAATGCATTTTTACAAAACTAAAATTTGCAAATGATAAGATAAACAAATATTTTTAAATAAAACTTAATTATTAAATATTCGTATACCATCAAAATAAGATCAGATAATAATTAATTTTTAAAACTCTTAATTGTTTTAAATTAGTGATAAAACATTTATAATTATGTAAATAAAGTGAAATATAATTTATAAATATACAGTACATAATATTAAAAATTTTTATTTAGTAGTATATACATAAATTAGTTATTACTCGTAATTTCATAATTATAAAATTATTTAAAAATTTATAAATATAAACTGTTTTAAATTCAAATGATTACTTATTATGTTATTAATTAAAACCCAAACACAATAATATATATATATATATATATATATATATATATATATATTGTAATCTATATTCAACTAAGAATATATATATATATATATATATATATTAAAAAAAATAAAAATTTTCAAAAAATGAAAATAAAATATTTATATTATTTTAATAAAAAAGTTTTGTTTAAACTATTACTTAAATAAATTACTTTTTTGAAAATACTTTATTATTAGAATTTATATACAGTGTATATGCATAGTATGTATATATATCACAATTTGTTATTTAATATATTTGTACTCAAGAATATTCTGCTATTTATTTCATAATTATTAACATTTTTATTTATTATACCTATATATATATATATATACAGTATATATTAGTAATAAAATGAGACTTCAATTATATGACCAGTTAATTGAATGAACAGAGATTTATATTAACTGATGAAACTGTACTACAAGTATAATATTTTAGTACTAATCATAATAATAAACTTGAGTTAAATTTGTAACTAATTTATTGTGATTGCAAGTAAATTCTGTGAAATATATTTATTATATATAATAATAATAATAACAAATACAATGAATATTATATTTATAAAATTATTTGATATAAAATATTGTTTATATTAGTATTAGTATAATTTATTTGTAAAACGGTCAGAAAAATTAATAAATTCTTAGAAATATGATGTAAAAAATTTGATAATAAAATTTATGTATTTTATTATATATATATATCTTTTATATACTTATTAATAAAAACATAATACAAAAATAATTTTAAAACTTACCAAAGTGTTTTAGAAAATTATTTATTAATAATTGATTTAAAATTAGTAGTTTATTATTAAAAGTCAAGTGCCGTGTTATTTAAAAATTAAGTTGAAAATTGATAAAAATAATTGAAATAAAATATCTAAATATCTATTGATGTTTTTGAATGTGTGTTAAAAACACTGCTAAATATGTGCCAACAAACTGATAGTAAACGGTATTTCTGACAAACTTTATATAGACTTCAATAGAGATATTTTGATGGCATGTGTTGTATGTGTCTTACCATTGAAGCCGACGATTGGAAATTCAAGTCACGAGACTCTGTGCGTCAAACAGATAACCAATGTTTGCCTCAATGGCTATCATTATATGGCTAAACATTAGACCAAATAGTAAACTATTGTTTCATAAATGTAATCAAAAATAATTGAATAAATTAGTGCTAACAATATTTCATATTTATAGATAATTATTAAAAAATTATAGTTAATATGTTTTAATTTTAATATAATAATAAACAAGTTAACATCAATTAACTACTGTATACACAAAATATTTTACGTTAAAGTTATTTATTAACAACAAGTACTTTACAGTATATAAAAAATAGATCCGTTTGGGAGGTGTTAATCAAATATTTATTAAAACGGGTGAATATAGTGGAGGGTGACTCAAAACATAGGGACGTCCATTAAACATAACTTATACACATTTTCTTAACAATTTAAAATAATTTTTGATTTAGACATTTAGCATAAATATTAAATATAACTTACAAAATATAATTATTATTATTAAATAAAATTTTTAAGGTATATTTTCTTAAAAATTCAAGATTATAATTTATGTCTATATTTAAGTTGTCTAAATTAGTTATTATATTTTAGTAAACAATGATCGGTATGCTATTATTAAATAAATCAACTAAAATACATTACATTAAAACTACAATAAATTTAAAAACCTATACTGTATTCCTAAACATAATAATAATTTATTTTATTAGTATAGTATAGTAATATATAAAAATGAGTTTTGAATATTGCTTAAACAAAATTAAATATTATATAAAAACGGTATAAATATAATTTGACTTACAATATACTGTAAATTTATATATATATCAATAGTATATAATGTATAAACTAGTAAATAATTTATTTTATATATTGGTACAAGTCTATAATATTTTATAGAAGTAATAATAATATATAATTTTATTGCTTAATACTATATAATTAATTAGAATTGTTATATAACAATATAATTAAAACTAACATAAATATTCTTACATATTTTTTAGGTAAGTTTGAATTTGTTTTATAAATAGATATGTATTAATATTTATCAAAAAAATCATAATTACAGTAATTGTATTAATTAAATTATTAATATTGATATGGTTTTTAATATCATTTTTTAAAATAAGTTTTATTTCAACTTATAATAATATATTTGATATTTAATACTATTTAATATAAGTAATATATAAGTGTAATAAAAATAGACTAAAATATTAATATCATTCTCATTAAATAATCAGAAAGTGGTCAGTAATAAAATACACATATTATATAATACCTGTATTAATATCACTCAATAGATATATATTTTTTGATTGATTAAGTATTTATATATTGATATATTAATTGAAAACATAAAAACTCTAAAATTATTTTTAAAAATTGATATAGAAATAATTATTTACATTTATAGAACAATTTAGTAGTCATCATTTTTTTTGCTGAAATATTCACATATTTTTACAGTACATAAAAATCAAACAAAACATAAAATTCAATAGTAATGACCAAAAACCCATTTGTTAAATACAAATATTGTATCACATATTTTATTAGGAATTTTGTTTTTTTTGTGCTAAAAATGTAATTTAATATTATAAACAATAAACAGAATATACATTTTTATTTAATATTTTTTTTAATCATTTTCAATGTTAAATGTTTTCAAAATGTATTACTAGAAATCTTGATCATATAAATAATGTAAATACAAAATATCAATTCTTATGTTTATTTTAAACAATTTTAATATATTTGAGTCAATATTAAAGTCAAACCAGAATTTTGATACTTTGTTGACATTTACAATATATTTTCACTTTTATAAGTCATTATTGAAAACTAAAATATAGTTTTCTAGTCATTTGTCACTTTATTTTGTAAATATTATTCATATTTTACTATATATATACAAGATATATATATATATATATATACTATATATATATTAGATATTTAAATACAGAGTGTATTACAAAGTAACTATAAAAAGTTATACATTTGGACATAAAATATATTCATTTAAATACTATTAAATATAAGTAATAATTCTTTATTTTTGCAGATTATTGCATAACTAAATAATTATTATATGTAATAGATAGACTAAAATGGTATATATATATTAATGAATTATACAATTAATAAATAATTTTATTTTAATCTTCAATTAGTGAACAGTAGTTTGACAAAAATTACAAAATAAAAATATTATAAATCATAATTTTTCTATTATATTTAAGATAATTTATTTGAAAGTTTTAGTAAGTTAAACATTACATTGCATTTTTTACAAATACATTAAATATATAAAGTTTGTAGTTTAATAAAATTTAAATTAAATTATATAACTTTTAAATATAATATCTCATAAAATTTATTACAAATATTTAGTCAAATATCATTTGATTTATAAAAATAACAAATTTAATTTATTTTAATTTACATCTTTTTAAAAATATATATTTAGAATAACTTTACGAGAGATTAGTAAAACACTGTATATTAAAAATATTTGTCTCTATTTTTCTACAAAATTATTTTCACGAACTCCTGAAAGGAGTACGTATCTGAATTCTATATGTCCCGTCCGTCCGCATTTGATTGAATTTTTAAATTTTGACTTCAGATTTGGATTAAGCATCAAAAATAAGGTATAGGGGATCAGCATTAAAATTTTGATATCTCTTCGGGAACAAAGAGAAAATGGCAGCCAAAGTGAAATTTTTTTTATTTAATAGTAATTATTTGATACCCAACATGACTATAGTTGAGTTTATTTTGTTATACTGAATCATTTGATACCCCACATGACTATAGTTAGTTTATTTTGTTATACTTATTTATTTTATACCTCACATGAGTAAAGTTTACTTTGGATTAGGAGTTCGTATGGAAATGCTTTCTAGCATTCTCAACTGGTTATATATTTATTCAGTTCATGTCATATAATAACATATTTATTAGTGTTTTAATAATTTATTTAATGTGTACTCAAAATATAACATTAATAGTGTTTTTATTATATTACACATATTATTACAAATCCTATGACACTATATGTTAAACCCTATAGAATTTTTCTGATTATTTAAATAAATAATATAATATAATAATTATTTTTTTTAAATAATAAGTAAATTAGTTTGTATTTAAATAGTAGCAAAATGAACATTACATTTTCAGTAAACATTTAAATAGCTAATTCATATTGTTTTTTATTTTTAAATAATTGAAATTGTACTTGATTATTTTATTTATTTTATTGTACAAAATTTTTATAAAAAATTATAATAAAAAAACTTAATTTGATTTTTTTTACAAAAATGCAATTATTATTAATTGAATGATATTTTTTGTACAAAATATACTGTAAAAAGATTATACATATAAATATACTGTATTTGTTTGGATATGTAGTAAACAGTACTGTATTTGATTTTTATTACTTTTACTAATTGTCATTAACTTTTTCATCTTAACTAAACCATTGATAAATTTGCGTCAGTATTATAGCAATGAAGTTAAAACCTTTTTTTTAATGAAACTTAATTCAATAATTTTGACTCCAATACAGTTAATAGTTGATTGTTTTTTTAACTTTTAATCGATAAAATGTTTATTGAATTGATGCACAATTCTAATAATACTTAAACTAGTCTTTTAGTTATATCGTATAATATCTGATTTATAAATTATTAATAAATATATTTGAAAGTACAGTACATTATATTCATTAATATTTGTTGCATTCATAAATTTCATTAATGATTTTCATTAGTATAAATTAATTACAAATTGTTTACATTTAATACTTTATATCTTTAATCATTATTTTATGTTACACTAAAATAATAATTTATATTAAATAAAAATGAACTTTTACAAAAAAATAATTTAGTATATTTGATATTTTATAAAACATAACTTATAACAAAACATATAAAAACTAGTGTACAATATTTTGTTGATTATTTAATCATTAGGGAATTCAAATATCTTATATTAAAAGGTTTATTTATAATTAAGTTTTATCTTTTAATAACAACTATTTTAAATATATTCAAAGAAAATCGTTTATTTTAAAAACACATTTACTTGAAAATTTAACTTAAAATTTAAATAAAACCATTTGACTAATAACTAAATTTGTTTATTATTAATATTACTGTATTATATTATATTAAGATAATTATTTTTTACCTCATATATTCAATATGTTATTTTATACTAAATATTATAAATATAATATTATTTAAATAAAATTAATTATTTTTTTATTAGTGAATTTTATTTGTGTCATAAGAGAAGTGTAACAATTTTGTATATAATATAATATATCACAAGTATTGTATGGTATAAAAAATAATTGAGATTATATTCATTATATTGATCATAATGTATAGAAACATATACTGTATTATATGTATATTAAGATCAAGCCCTCATTGTATTATACCGTACTATACTATAATTTAATGTAAATACTGTATAATGCTTTAATCATTATTACATCAAATTATTATTTTTATATTTTGTTATTATCGATAAGTTATTCATTAGTTAGAAGATTTTGTGCTAATTATTATAACATTTTCTAAATATGATAAATAATGCATAATATATTATTTAAAAATTAATTATATTTATTTTTTAATATATAATATAATTATAATTATATCATATTTATACTATTATTATGTTATTAAAATTAATATTACTAAAATTTGTTCTAACAATATATTTAATCAAAATTAATTTCAGGAAATAATAATTTTATATTTGTATAGTTTTAGTTTCTATCATTTTAAAATGTTCAAATATTTAATACTATAAAATCAAATATATTACAAAATAAAAATAAATTTATATTAATAATTTTAATATTAGGCATCTTAAAGTTGATATTAATTATTTATAATATATTTATAATGTAATCTATTTTTAATATAAAATTTATTTGCATAATTAAATAAAAATATACCAAATTTACTAAGTTAATAAAATTATTATACTAAATAAAATTAGATGACTTATATAATTATAATTTTAGTATATTTATCTGAAATATTTAGCTCAAGTATATAATAGCATATTGTACTCTATAAATACTGTACATTATACTGTATATATAAATGTTATTTACCGGTATTACAGTAAGTGTTGAGTAAATTACTTATTGAATTATTTTGCTAAATGTTTATATTTGCATTACAGAATAAATTTAACATAAAATAGGAATTAATATACTTTATATAACAGTTTTTAATAATGTATTTAATGATATATATATAAGATATCAATTAGTATTGATAATTATATTATCTTTCAAAAGAAATAATGATTACAGAATGAATACATACATTAAAAATGTATACTAAAGTATTATAAATGACAATAAAAGTGTTATTGTTTGTGTCATTAAATTCAATAAAAAATATTAATTAATAAATAAAATTATTACAATTAATATATTAGTTTATCGATCTATATATTACTTTTTATTTAATATTATTCTAATTAAATCTATACAAATATTTTATTCGCATTTATTTATACTATTAAAATTTTAAACTAAATTTAAATAATGTTAAAATAAATAAAACATATAAATTGACAAAATGCACAACATATACTTTATGAGTTTTTCATATATATATATATATATATAAATATGAATAAGTATAAGAAAGATCAGTTATATTAATAATTAAAATAAAAATAAAAATACTATGTTTAGTGAAGTTTCTGGAAATTTACTCTCTGGAAACTTTGAGAAAATTATAGTTTTACACACAAATTATGATAAAAAATATGTATTGTTAATGAAATTATGACTTTATTTAACAATACATTTATATTTATTATTAGTTATATTATATCATTTACTGTATTTGTCGATAAATTAAATACAATAAAAGAATACAAAAATAGACAATTTAAACATTAGAATTATTAATCTTATAATTAAATAATACAGACTATACATAAAAATATCACAATTAGTATTGTTATAATATATAAAATTTGTTGTAATTTACATAAAAATAGAATCATTTTAGTTATTAAAGATTAATTAGTTTTGTAAAATTATTTATTTAATAACTGATTTAAAATATAATAACTAAATTAACATAAATTAATTTATTAAATATTTTTTATACTTAGAATTATAAAGATTAAAATTATTATTTTTATTAGATTTCATTAATATTTACAAACAAAAATTATAGCAAATATAATTTATATGTTTCCAAATTATATTAGGTATAAAGTATAGAGTAAAGTAACAAAATAAGGTTTTATGATTTATATTGGATTATAAATCTATGTTTTTTTATTTGATTATTAAATATAATAGAAATTTAGAGCATATTATTTGGTCATTCAATACCTTAACATTATTAGTAGTAAATCAAATAATATGAATGATATTCATTATATCACAGATTTATTAATATCGAAATACATCTAATTTTTTATTTTAGTCACGTTTTCATTAATAATAAGACACTCAATGAATAATTGCATTTCTCTCGTATGGAAAGTAAATTTATAACAGCCTTTAATAAATAGCTATTTTGTGGTCAATAATATTTATTTATACAATTATAATATGAGAGAAAAACATGCTATCGAAATAAATTGATAGTTATAAATATATTAATTTTTATTTACAAATAAAACAATATTTTTGTAATTTTACATTTTTTGTAACTAAAAATATTTAACGTTTTATAAAAAAATATAAAAACCATTAAAACATTCAGTTTTATTTATTTATAAATATATTGAAAATATAAAAAATATGTCTAATAAAAATGTCATATTTATTGTTTAAAGATATAAAATGATTGCAATAAAAATGATAAAATGGATATTTTGTTTTTTTTGTGTATACAAGTGGTCATCAATATAGACAAGCGTTTCTCATTTAATCTAAGTTTTAGTTTTTAATGTACGTTAAAACTAGTGTTACCAATACTAAGATTTTATTTATCTGTAATATACTGTATTGTACAATATTATTGAATTTATAGTATTATATACCTGTATATATTAACTTTAATTATTATATTCAAAAATATGAGAATGATATAAATGTTAGATTTATATATTATAGAATATTATTAACTTAATAATTTATTTTTATTTTTAATAGTCATTTACTAAAAATTATTGTTTTATTATTTATTGAAAATAATTCAAATTTCAATAATATTGGCAATGCTAGTTATAAATATAGAAAAATAGTATAATACAGTACTTATTTACTCCAATATCTTCAATAGTACAATAAAATATTGAATATGAGATTTCCTAATAAAATAAAAAAAAATTTTTTCCTGATCTAATAGTAAACAAAATTGATTTATATTTAATGTCTATATTTTTCTGTAAACATAACCAATAATCTAACATTGTTTAATTATTGTCAAATTAACAATAATAAATATTTTCAAATAACTAAGTTAATAAAATTACTTATTTGTTTATAAATATAAAATTTGAGAATATATTTAAACATTATTATCTAATAGAATATGGGTTAAATAAATTTATAATATTACATGTATAGTGGCACCGGTATATAATTTTTTAAAAACAAATTAGTAATTTATTTTGTCTGGAAATATAAAATTATAAGTATTTAACAATAAGCGAAAAGAAAATAATTTTTATTTGAAGATAAATTGATAAAATTATGACTTTAATTATAGCGAGTCTGTCATTACAATTGATTACAATATCTATAATAACACTTCAGAGACAATTACAGCACTTGAATATAAGTTCCCGAAAGACATGGAACTCAACATATGATTATATAGTAGTGGGCGCCGGAAGTGCCGGCTCTGTAGTGGCCGCACGACTATCGGAAAATTTAGCTGTAAATGTCTTATTACTGGAAGCGGGCGGAGCTGAGACTGCCATTACGGATATGCCGGCCAACTATTTTTCAATTACCGGTAATCCAGAGTTTGACTGGAATTATCTAATTACAGATCAGCCATTTATAGCTCGTGCCTACAATCAGCCGATTCATATGTCAGTCGGCAAAGTTTTGGGCGGTTCATCCACATTAAGTAACTTTTTAATTTTAAAATAAAAATGTTATTATTATATTAACAATACTAAATGTATTGAATAATTAGGTGGAATGGTATACAACAGAGGAAATCGTAATCATTTTGATGAATGGCATTCAAGATATGGCTGTTTGGGCTGGAATTACGACAATATTCTGCAATACTTTTTGAGAGCCGAAAATAATACGGATACCAATTATTTAACTAAAAATGCCAAATATCATAGCAATACGGGACCGTTAACTGTGTCTTCAGATTGGAGTCATATAAATGTTTTGCCTATTTTTCAAGCATTTCTCGATACGGCTGTTATGGCCGGCTATCCAACAATTGATGTTAACGGTTAGTAAACTTGTAATCAATAAAGCATTTATCTAAAGTGTAATCAGTGATTAAGTTGATATTAATTAGGGTTATTAACAATATAATTACAATTTTTATGAAATATAAATTATTATTATATAATTATATTTAACTTGTTTTGACATTGTTGTCATATTGACTTTTCGGCCCTTTTTTTTATCAATTTAGTATTTTATGACTATTTTATTAAATTAAAATATTGTCATTAATAGGTCCAACACAGGAGGGCTCGACATTATTTCAGCACACAATAAAAGATGGGACAAAAGTAACCACTTCTGGTGCTTATATCGCGCCTAACATTAATCGCACGAATTTACATGTCGTCACTCGAGCCAGTGCTACAAGAATTATATTCAGAGGACTGACTGCCAAATCCATTGTATTCACGCGTAATGGCATTGAATATACAGTTAATGCCAATCGCGAAATCATATTGTCTGCGGGCAGTATAGGATCGGCAAAACTACTGATGCTTTCGGGTATTGGACCTCAAGATCACCTCAACAGTCTAAATATACCCGTCCTGTCAAACTTGCCGGTGGGCAACAACTTTCACGACCACACTTCAGTTGTACTCTATTATGATGTCCTCAATCAAAGTCGTTCCTATGATTTAGTTGAACTGACGGTTCAAAATCTATACGACTATTATGTGAACTCTTCGGGAACACTGACTATGTTTCCAAATGCGGCCACATATCAGGTCACACCTGTTAACAATCAATATGATTGGCCCGATATTATGACCGAAATGACCCGAAGCAATAATTTATGGCAAAACTTGTCGGATATTATGCGACAATATGGATCTAATGTGGAGGAATGGCAAGACTATTGGAGACCATATGTTGGTAAGGAATAGGTTATCGTTTTCATAAAAAGATAAATTACTATAATTATATATTTAAAGGCCGAAGACTTATTTTAATGTACAATCAATTGGTTAGACCTCGAGCTCGTGGAACAGTAAGACTGTCATCTAGTGATCCAAATGCAATGCCTTTAGTTAATCCTAACTATTTGGGAGATCCCTATGATATGGAAGCAATGGTTAGTGGTGTGAGAAATATGATAACTCGCATATCAACTACCGGTCCATTTGGCCAACAAACTAGACGTATATCAACAACAATACCCGGTTGTATAAAATGTGGTAACGACGAGACTTGCGACTCATATTTACGATGTTTGGTCAGACAAACAGCACAAGCAGTTTATAGACACGGTTTGTATCAATTTTTCACATTTTAGATAAAAACACATTAAAAAAAACTATAAACGTATAAGTGATTTCACACATAAATTTATATATAAAATAGTGGGCACCTGTAGGTGTGGATCAACCACTGATAGTCAAGCAGTGGTTGATGAAAGGCTTCGAGTAATTAATGTAAAGAACCTGCGAGTGATTGACTCATCTATTATGCCTCAAGTGGTCAATAGTAACCATTTGGCCGCAACCGTAATGATAGCTGAGTTTGGATCTCAAATGATTAAAGACGATATAAATCGTATCGTTTAAACTTATTTTTAATACATTTTCAAATATTTTACATATTTTCTAAATATAAAATAACTAAATTTTTAATTATTTAGATTTTTATAAGTTATTTTTTATATTATATCAATAGTTTCTTTTAACTTGTGATCACAATTGACATCACAATAAATTGAATAAATAGCTGAACACAATCTATGTGTTTGATTGATATTTCCATCAAAAAGTTGTCGATTTGATCTAAGAGATGATTGACAATCACTTAATGTATCATTTTTATGGTATTTCTCATCCACTTTGATGGTAACGTTTTTCTCGTCTTTGTTAAACAATTTCAATGATTTGTCTGTAAAATTAAATACAATCCGATGTGTATTTAATTTTTGTGTTGGAAAAGGACTAATTTCTCTTAAAATAAAAATTAAATTATTTTATAAAAAATATTATTTACTAAATAAAATAATATTACTTACGATTCATTATTGTTGGCATATTTTATACCAAATTTTCTACCCATTAGTCTTCTGTTTGATTTAATTTTAGTTTTACCTAATATTTTACTCAGTTCTGTATGACTGATGTCTAATTGTATGTTTATTAAATCATTTTTGTCAATTAGTAAGCAATTAAATATATAAAATTCAATTAAATATGAAAAAATTAACAAAAATTTGAAGTATAATAGCATTTTATAAAATCAAACTTAAAATCAATGACTAAAATATAAAAACAATTGAATACTTTAAAGATTTTATAAAGTTTAAAATAATAAGAAATAATATATATAAGGATTAACTTAAATCAGGAAATACTTTAAAAGTTTTGTATTATTTACATTTATATTATTTTAAGATACAATACGATATAGACATTACTAATATAGGTTATTACTGTATAATAAGTTAGTAACATAAATATTAAACAAATATAAAGAAATCAATATCAAAATTATTTTTAAAAATAAATAATTGTTAAATACTTTATTCATTACTAATGCAAAAATAATTTATGACATTAAACTCAGAAATTATCATAAATAATAAAAATTGTTTTTAAAGAAATTTAGTAAAAAATAAATATAAATTTAAATTTATAAACAATAATGTATTTAATGTATACTTATATTGATAAGCATTTTTTATTAGTAGGAATTAGTTGTTGGACTCGTTTTAGAAATAGTTTTAGTAAGAGTAGGTGGACTCTTAGGTTTGGCAGTTGGACTGGTAGTTGGACTGGTAGTTGGACTGGTAGATGTCCTGGTAGATGCACCGGACGTTGGATTGACTCTAATAGGACTTATTTTTAAGTTATTTTCGGGACTAACTTTTGGCCTATTTTCCGATATTTTGGTTGACTTTTTAGTGTTTACAACATTTTTGTTACTATTGTTATTTTTATTGGACCCAAACATAGCATTTGGCCCACTTTTGATGACACCTGTGTGTGAATCGACTGTATGGACACTTTTAAATGAAACTCTGGAAGCCGTCACTAATGTGTCGCGACTGGAGATCCGTCTTCTATCAGGTTTTCTTGTATTGTTTTCAGTGGATCGGGATTTGCTTCTATAGACTATAAATAAAGCAATTCCTATCAATACTGGAATAGCTATTATAAAGAACAGTACTATCAATAGGATGTATATCGAGGATAAACTCGACTCAGAGGACTCTTCATTGTTGCACTGGATGTCAAACAATGAGAATAAATCGTATTCAGTATTAACCAGATTTCTGATATTGTCTTCAATTATATACTTAAATATTTTAGACTCTCTTTCCTTATTTTTGTCATCAAAATGCTGTTCATCTCCGATGGCATAAATAGTTCCGTTTAAATTAAACAATCCGTGAAATTTGATGGTCGAGTGATTCAATTGAACTGATTTGAATGAGTCTTTCCAATTGTCTGTCTTCAAGCGATTCCAATAGAGTGTTGGTTTAGATCGGGTGTCACCGAATGCGTTAACTATAAACACCATTTCCAACTTTTCCGGCACAAAAACAACCGGTCGATTGTCTCTGATCTCGAACTCTGGCGGCCAAAGAGGTCCCTCGAGTTTGTTACCACTGGGTGTCATATTCCATGGCATATCAGTGACTCTAGTAATCGGTTGTTTTTCAGATGTCTGTCCCTTTGTATCCAATACTGGAATTTTATAAAACTGAAACTTATTTTTGTTATTAAGTGACGAATAGCTTAACTCGAAATACAAATTCTTCATTTTGTTGATTTCCAGACACTCTCCGTCGCAATGTATAGTCTCCGGCACTCGTGTCACATGAAATGCCGAATATTCGTGATATTGTTCTTCATGTATGTCAACCTCTAAACCCAATCTATTAGTAAAGGCATTATATATCCATTTATAGTCTCCTCGAAGTAAAACTATATGATTTCGATATTCTTGATGAGAGTTGTCGTAAGTGAACTCTAAGTTATAGATAGAATCGACGAACTTCTTTGAACATAACTGTGGAATTCCTAAGATATACCTAATGAGCACCGGTAGCACTAATATCAAACATCTCATCAAATACATTGTAATAACAAAATACGTTATTTTATAATTTAAAATTTAGATATAAATCCATTTAGTTTTGATTCATACCAAACAAGTAGTTTGCGATATTCTATACAATATATCCACACATTGTTGTCTCGCTTTTTATATTTAGTTTGCAATTAATAAATGTTGTTTATTAATGCGTTAATAATTATTGTATTTGAATAATAAATTAATAACTTTTTAAAATTTTTGTTATTAACTAAATAGAAAATTTGAATTTATTTGAACACTTGTTGTTAGATAATGGGTTGTTGTTGTTCATCCACTTCTTTCAACTCGACATCAACAACATTGACACCACTTAAGAAAAACAGTGTCTTAGATTTGGCACAACACATGACTTACACAAAAGGCAAAGAAAAGCTTAAGATTAGCCGAATTACAATTAAAACACCGATGAGTCAAAAGATGGCCGATGAGGTGCCAACCAATCCATCGACCAATGAAGACATGAAGACAGTGTTTCAGCCGCCGTTTAATGTGTGCACTAAACTGACAAAAAACGTGTTTTTGTCGGGAATCGCATCTCTAACTCACGAAAATATTAAGAAAGAGGGCTTCACTTTGATTATCAATGCAACCTATGAGTGGAATAATACAGAACCCGACGGTGTTATGTGTATTAGAGTTCCCGTTAGTATTAGAGAGTTAACTATAGTTTAAATCATTGTTTTTTGAATCTGTGGATAAATAGTAATTAATAATTAATATACAATCAATAATAAGGTGGAAGACTCGGTCACAGATGATATATCTATTTATTTTGATGAAGTGTCCGATAAGATCGAGGAAAACGCACAATTAAATGGCAAAACTCTAATCCATTGTATGGCCGGCGCCAGTCGTTCAACAACTCTTGCACTCGGTTTGCATATAAATATATTTTAATGAAATATAAGAAAAATATGATTTTATTTAATTGATAGCATATTTGGTAAAACATGAAGTAATGTCTCTGAAGAATGCCTTTCATTCAGTACGAAAGCGCCGGGAGTGTGCCCGACCTAATATGGGATTTTGGGATCAACTCATCAAATATGAGATCAAAGTAAAAGGCAAATCATCGGTAAAGATGATTCAGAAAACTATTGATGGCATCACTGTAACTGTTCCAGACTTTTACGAAAAAGACTGTAAATCTTATTATAATTTAGAGATCGATAAACAACTGAAACAAGCAAAAGACAAACAGGAAAATCCATTACTTAAAATCAAATCCGAAAAACAGATAAATTCATCAATAAATACGTAGATATAAAATAGTATTTCAATTAAATGTATGCATATATTATAATATTATAATATTTTTATTTAAAAATTATTTATTTTTTTAAATATTTAAATTAATCAGATTTGTTTTGAACTCTGATTTTATAAAAATTCATTCAATATTTTAATAAAAAATAATTATTATATAATTTGACAAAAATTTGATTATTATTAAATTGTTGTTTAGTAATTATTATAATAATTAAATAATTATATTTATCGCTTAATACTTAATAGTTTACACTTTTATTTTATTATATGTTAATTTTATAACAGCTACTCATTTAACTTTTAAAAATATTTTTATCTAATAAAATCAAATCTGTATAATTGTGTGAAACAATTTTGGATTTCATCCAAAAAGTCTTATATTTATTTGTATTTAGTTCTATAAATAGTTTAGAAAAATATCGCTTATATTTTCAATTTTAATAATTTAATAAATTATATACACATTATATATATATATGTACATTATATTGATAATAGTGAAAAAATAATTTTTTTTATAAACTTATGATTAATTAATTATAATAATGAATGATTTGAGATGTCTTCGTGCAATAGATCGGAGAGATATAAATTTAGTAAAAGAAATTATATCAAAAGGTCATGACTTTAATGCTGGTGTGGGTCAGCGCAAAATGCCTCCCGTTTTGTATTATGCCGTCCAAAACAATTGGACAGAAGTCGTCCAATTGCTTATTAATACTAATTGCGATCTAAACGTTAAGTATAGTCCAGAATTGAAGACACCGTTATATGTGTCAGCAATGAATGGCAATCAAATAATGACTACACTTTTGTGTCGAAACGGAGCCAATGTTAATGAGATGACCACTAAAGGTCGGACACCGCTATTTGCAGCCATCGAGTCTTCGGCAATAACTAAAGATATATCGTTAGTAAACCTTTTGCTAAATTTCGGAGCCGATGTCAATGTTGTTGATATAAACGGATGCTCACCACTAATCCTAGCAATTAAATGCAATTATTTAGAGACTATTAAACTATTGATAGAAATGGATGCAAAACTTGATATTAATTACTTCATTGAATTTAAAAATTGTCTTCAACTCAATAATATTAAAATCATTGAATATATTCTAATGTTATACAAGACAAGAGCGACTGAAATTGATTCACAAATTACTAAAAATACGAAAACATCTTTAGTTGACTTATGTCTTGAATATAATAATTTAAAAGCTATGAAGTTATCAATTAAAATAGGATTTAAAATAAGTAATAAATTAATTGTGAATCAATCAATTTTAGTTAAAACATTTGTATCAAAAAGTGATGAGAACTTAGAGGAAGCAAACTATTGTTTGGATTATTTGTTATCATTTATACAATTAAATGATTTGCGGCAAACATTTACATTCAAATACAAACCGGTGACCAATAATTATATAATAACTGGTAATCTCTTGACATATGCCCTACTATTTAACTGTTCCTATGCTTCTAAACGACTCATACAATTGGGAACACCATTTGAAAGTCAAGTATTCAATTATTACCGATTCAACTGTTGTGATGTGCAATCATTAAAATTGTTATACATGTGTGGCATCCGATTTCCCAGCAATTTCTCCAATAAATGTTATCCAAACAACAAATTTGACGATCAAAATGAAAAACAATTGAATCGCATTGAGTTTCAAGAGTTTTGTAAATGGATTACAACAAAGTCATGCAAACCGTACCGATTGTCTCAATTGATCCGAATTAGTCTAAGAAATACATTTGGCATTCATTTATCGCAAATATTAAATAACATAAACTTTCCCAAACAGATCATCAATTATTTGCAATTTGAATATATTTAATATAATTCTTATACAATTCAATTCATCAATTCATAAAAAATAGTTTATTGAAAATATTTTATTTATTAATTCACTGAAAAGTTAATTAATATTTGCAATAATTTTAAGATATAAAAATCTAGTAAAAAATATCATTACAAATAATTTGAAAAACATTTACTCTTATATATATACACACTGTTTTAGTAAGAGATAAATTTAATTAAAAAAAAATTATGTAATATTATAAATGAGTAATGTCTATATAAATAAACATAATTATAATTCTTAAAAAAGTAATTTCCTTTAAAATTATTACTTAAAATTTATAAAAATACGAAATAGGTAAATTAAATGCAAATTAAATTGCAGACAAAATAATTGAATAAAAAATCATATATTATCACAGATATTTCACATATTAAAAAAAAACATTTTCTAAATACAGTACCACCACTTTATTTATTAAATAATATTAAAGCAAATAATTTTATGCAAAATGTATTATACGTCACTGATTTCAAATAGTTGTCTTAAAATTAATTTTGTCATTAATAGTCTATAAAACTGGATAATAATTTCTATTATTACCGGTAATTTCATTATAGGTGTTAATTGCTTTTCAAATATTTTAAGACATAATTCTTTAATGAAATAACTATAAAATTACATTATTTAAAATTAATCAAATTTGGTACGAATTAAAAATTGCAATGATTTTAAAAATACAGTAACTCTTTTGGTTAGCAACTCATTAAATATGGTAAAACTATATTGAAATATAATGTATAGTTTTTTCATTTATTTGTTAATTATAAGCAAAAAGTCAAATAAATGATTGACTAGTTATCAATGATTTAGTTTCTATTATATTTAAATAACAATTCAATTGGATTGTTATTTAAAATGTTTATAACTAATTAATCATTAATTAGTATATATTTTGTTATCTTTTGCTATCATAATTGACTATAAAATAAAAACTAAAATCAAATAAAAATATGATTAAAATGAATGATTAGATGATTTAAAAAATAAATTCGTTAATTGAATTAAATATTAAGCGATCGCTTCCGTGTCGTTGCGGTCATCAGTTTGTGGACTTCGGTCAAGAAGTTGGTGTTCAATGACATGAGGTGTGAACGCCCGGCGCCACACATCGCGAAACATACCTTTACGGAAACCAAAATAATAGGCCATAAATACTATCATTACGGACATCACGGCTCCGAAGATACTAAATATAATGACTGAATCTAAAAGACAATTGATGTCAATCATTCAAATACTCATAAATTAAGAGATATCACAATAACTCACGACTATTATTGTTGTCATTTGAATAAATGGGAAGCGGTTTGACAGTTGTCGTCACTATTATTATTGTATTATTATGTGACACACAGTGACCACCGGTTGTCGAGTTATGCCATTCTTCACATATCTCATCCGATGGACAGTCGCCTAAAACACCAATTGAACAGTTTATCACTTTGGCCTCTGATATGTCAAATCAAAATCAATAAATATTATCATTAAAATTATAAATCAATTTGTTTTGTCATCGACGGTGTACTAACCTATTGATGCAATTAATGCAATAAAAGCCAAAACAATTGCATTTAAATGAAGACAAAGTATGAGATTCAAAGACATTGTTGTTGTCATCGATGGTAATGAAGTGATTGTTTTTTTTTTTGGTTTACAAATAAATACAAATTTTAAGAGTTGTTTATGAATTGATTTGACACTTGATTTGCAATGATATGACCGATGAGTGATTGCATGTGATTGTCATCGATGTCATCAATGGTTAGGTTTTTAGTGACAATTGAGTAAACAATTGTTTGATTACATAATAGTAAGCATTGAGTCAACAAAACGACAATTGATGTCAATATATATGATATATATATATATATAAAGTGATTGTAATAAATGTCTCACAATTTGTGTCACATTTTTAGTTATAAACTCTAGACTTGAATAACACAAACATATAAACAGTGTATAACTTATAACTCAATGCATTCAATGTTAAGCCAACACATCATTGACTTATAATATATCACGACTTTTATGTTAAGTCACGAACTTTATGTTAAAACTAATGTTTCCATTGATTTGAGTTTTGATTAATTTAATTACAATTTATCATCAAATATAGGAATAATAGTTTTATTAATATATTTTATTGATTTTAATTTAACATACCTTTTGTTATTAAAAAAAATAAATAATAATGTTTTAAAACAAACATTTCTTGTGGTTTTAAATTTAATTATATAAAATTAGATTACAAGTTATTTTTTTAAAGTTTAGTATTGTTATGAGACCTAGGGTATTTATATTATCAATTTATATTGTTAATATTATCAAAATTAAATGTATAATTTGTAGTATTTGTTAATATTTAGTATCTGAATCATTACCGGAAATAATTAAATTCATATTAAAATTTTATTCATAATTTAAATTCTCAAATTCCTATCAATTGTATAGTACTTATGGTAATAAGTTAATCAAATTAACAAATATTTTTACTTTATTATAGAATTTAATTTTTATTTAATAATATTTTACAGCAATATTTATTTATAATTTAAACTTTATTTTTGCTTAAATCCTATTAACATTTTCATATAAAGATAATTTAGACAAATATGAGACTTGAAATTAGATTTGAAATGTTTTTGAGTTATGACAAAATATTGAGAGTTAACAAATTGTTATTATAGTAACAAAGTGTTAACTTTGAATACTAACAATAATAAAGTACTGTATAATATTATTATTATTAAATTGATTGACTGTTCAATGAAATACAGAATTTTGGTATAATATGAATATCTATAATTATATTTTATATATAAAAATGACAAATTGTAATGTTATAGATAATATTGAACTTAACAAAAAAATGTAGTTGATCAATTGCAGTTGAATTTTTTTTTTAATAAACTATAACTACCCAGATAATTGTACCAGACTTTTCAAAAATTGTAAAAAGAGTCGGGTGCAATTATCTGGTCAGTTATACAATTTATTAAAATATGATCAATTACAATTTTGTTAAGTTCAATATTATCTATAACATTACTATTGGTCATTTATATAAATAAAATATAATAAATCAATTATATAGTCGGATATTCAAATGTTTAATGAAAAATATGTTAACTCTAAACATTAATTTTGATATTACAGTATTGTTTAACTTATTAAGTTATTATTATTGTAAATTTGAATTTCTATTTAAATAAAACGCCAAAAGGAGTCATCACTTAGTTTATTAACTTTATTACAAATAAGTTAATTTTTTTAATTTAATATAATTGAAATATTTTAAGTTTAAGGTGATTGCTATGCAAATAATAATAATGCACTTTTGTTTTATTAAAATGTTAGGCATCTTATATTTATAAAATTATTACAAATTATATTTTTGTTTTACTTGTTTATTTTATATACAGTATAGTAAGTAAAATTAGTAAATAATTAGTTTATATAAAATTTTTAGATTAATTTTATTATAAATAATAAAATCAATTATATTCATTACATTTAATAGCTCAGTAAAAATTAATTAAATAAATTTAGAATTTTAAACAAAATTGTTCAAAATTTTTAATATGAATTGTTGATATCACATTTCTAAAAAGCATTTATATAAAATATTAAAATTTTATATAAATATTATAAAATGTAAATTTTGGACATTTTAAAATTATATTATACATAAAAATATTATTTTAAAGACTATGTTTAAAAATTATTTTTATCAAAAATAAATTAATATCAATATTAATGAATGGGAATACATATAAATTTATAGTTTAATCTTTAACAATCTGTAATTTATATTAAAATCTAATAACACGTTAAATTGTTTAATATCAATTTATAATGTTTATTAATAAAGTTAAGTAAAAAAGTACACAAATTTATTAATAAATTTGTATGGATTGTTTTGTTATTAAAATATAATTATTAATTAAATTATTTAATATATTGTATAAATAAGAATTGTTTTATTTGATTTTTAAAAAACTATTGAAAAAGTTTGTGAATAACTGTAGATTTAGATTATTTATAATAATAGATAAATAATAGTAATTTTTCATGTAATTTTTAAAAGGTTAGTAGTCTTAGTTTGACATTTTATAAATTAATGACAAATTTTGATGGTCTAATTAAAGTTTTAAACAAAAAATATTTACTGAATATATATATATTTATAATAAACTTATATAAAAAATGTTGATAATTTGTATATAAAATGCATTCATTTTTAAATTGAATCACTTATAACAATATTTTCTTATATAATAATCACTTAAAACATAAAAAAGCTTTAAAGTAAAATATTTATTTGAAAAATTGTTTTATTATTTCAATATTTTTTATACATTGAAAATAAAAAATTATAGTATATTTAATTAAAATATTAATATAATAACATGTAAACTGTTTACTTTTAATAAGTTTTTTGTCAAAATATTAAATCTATTTAGAATTGATAGACAAGTTTTTTATTAAAATAATGAAAATTGTTTACTTATTAACATTTCTTAACATTTATATTTTTTTTATATTTTTATAATATATTATTTTGAATATCAAACAAATAAGACAAACGAGTGACACAACTGTTGCGCAGACCTTTTATATCGCAGTTTATATAATGAATATTTAAACCATAATATATGCCTTTTAATGCTTTTTATATATCAAACAAACAGTAACTGAAAAAAACAATATATTTATTATCAAATAGTCAGGACTTATAGTATTTGTATATTTGTTTGCTGTCTTTATATATAATTTGTTGACCACTTGATTAGCAAATGATATAAATTTTATTTGTCGAGTCCGTCAAATTATAGTTGTGTTAATTTATATGATATTGAAATAACTAAATAAAGTTGTGATCAATTATTGAAAGTTTTTTTTATAAATATAGAATTTGTGGTTATTTTTATTTACAGGTATATTTTAATTAATTATTTTTTTAAAGTTGAATTAAAATAACAATAAATTATTGACAATTAGCAATCAAACATGAGTTTTCTGAAAGTTATGTCAATCCTATATATAATGGTATTACTGAGTGTTTTGGTTGCTGAATTAAATGCAATTGATTGCAGGTATGTAATAGTTTTTATTTTTTTAAATCAATATATGTTTGTAATTAATTATGTAATTAAAGGACATTTGTTTTTGCACCGCAATGTCGAGGAGTATCCAAAAAGTCAGTAGATATGGATCCCCGACTCTATTCAATGATTAGCGATGAAAGGTTTGTTTTATTTATTTCATAAATTGATTTAAACTAAATTATTATTTATATAATAAATTACATTATATAGAACTCAATTCTATATTATATACATATTATAATATTATGTTATGCCGTAATAATTTAATTTACCGTAATATAGCATAGTTTAAATATACTGTACTTATTATCAGTATTACTGTATATGAAAAAATTAAAAAAGTTATATTACAAATATAATTACTATTGTATAAATAAATAATAATTTATAATTTACTGATATAAATATATATTAATATATAAATGTTATGTACTGTATATTATATTTTTGTTTATTTATTGTGTTTATTTAGAAATTAGAAATTACTTATTAATAATAAATATAATTATATTTTGATATTTTTAACAACTTTGTTTTTTGTAAATAAAAATTTAAAATAGAAGTTGAATTGTTTTTTTTGAGTATTAGTGACAAAATTGGATATATTTTCTAAAAAACACTTTAATTCTAAAATAAGTTTTACTTTTTTAGTCTAATTGTATATAAAATACAGTTTTAGTGATATAATAAGTTTTATTTAAACAAACAATAAAACACCACAAATACGCTTAAGTTTTATAGAATTTTATATTAAATTTTTGTTTGCAAAACACTGTAAAAATTTAAAGCCTTTACTAAAAGTATTTATAAAAAATATATAAAATTGTTTAAATAAATTGAACACAATTTTGTTTATCAAATCCATATAATTCTGAGGTTTTTTGAAGAGTTTGTAATTTTATTATTTTTTATTTGATATTTATATAACAAATATCTTATTTTTTAATTATATTTTTAAACAAATATTATTATTTCCTATAAGTCATAAATATTAAAACATTTTATTTACAAGTTATTTGGGAATAAATTATAATCAACATTCAATTTATTGTAAACAAATAGAATAAATTTTATTAGAGTTTTATTGTTTTTAATTATAATTTTATTGTAATAAAAATTTATGCAATAAATGTATAAATCAAACTTATTTTGAATTTCATATTTGTTGGCAAAGAAACACACAATTGAATTAAAATACAAACATACATAAAATATGATTAAAAATTTTATGTGATATTATTAGTTGTTTATTTAAATAAATATTTTTCTAATAACTTAAGATATATTGCGTTTTATTTATTGTGTTTATTATATATAAATAATGAAAATATATTTACAGAATGAATGACTTGAAAACAGCACTGAAAGACAACTCATTGCTAAAGATTTTGTTAACAAATTGGATGAAAGAGTACAGCAATCCTAAGGATGGAGAGGACAGGGATTCTAACAAATGATCCCATATTTGACAACAAAAAACACATTTTAATTTATTATACAATTCTTCTATAGTTTACAATGTATTTAGTGTTAAAAACCAAAAATCATATTATATAATAAATGATTAATATATATTAATTGCATAATAATTTTAATAATTTATATATAAATCATATATAAATAAAAAGACGTTCACTTTAGTAAATTATATATATTAAGTGCAAAAATACATAATGATATTTGTTCATCAAATAATTTTAATTTGTATTAATCATAATTGAATTATATGATCACAATTTGTCACATTTTAATGTTAATGTATACGATAAATAACAAATGTTATAAATAAAATAAATTACTGAATTTTAAATAAATGATTTGATAATCTATTAAATTTAACTTAACTATT